CCATAGGAAACACTTCCAAAACATTCTCCTAGTCATCATGGTGAGTGTTTTCTAGTTCTACTGAAGGACTGTTTACCCCGAGGTGTTGTTTGGGCTCCTGGGAACCTGTCTCCCTGTCACACACTCGCCTGGCGTTAGCAGGACATGGAGAGAGAGACAGGCCCACAGTGGGGCTTTTGTTGCCCTGGCGCTTCCTCACTCCCACCATGGGAACGGCCACCATTGGTTGCGACCTTCTCTCGCTGCTTTCTGCTCTGCTGCTTTCCCTCCGATTAGGAGTGGAAACATTTTTGGGCACCATGTATCATATTCGGAGAGATGGGAGTAAGGGGAGAAAGGACATATTTTCCATTGTATTCGCTCACAGTTAATGTTTCCCAGTGCTAAGCTTGTTCTTGTGTGGTCATTTAACAGCGGTTGACCAAGTTTAACCTGGAGGTCAAAGGTTTTCCTGCAGGGTTAAGTCAAGAACACACAAAGCATATTGTACCCTTGTCCTAATCCTCCCATGGTCACTTTATTCTTTCCAGTTCCCACATTTTCTATACTTTTAATGAAGCCAGGTTCAACATTTGATTGATTTTATTGCTGAATTAATGTTAGCATTAATCCATCGTGCCCAGAACTGCAGCTAGGTGTTTAGTTACATCAAAGTCTTATAGCACTGCAAGTCCAACATGCGGCTCTGTCTTTTGGATAATAATTGTTTTTGTAGATAAATCCACCAATATGTTTACTATTTCATGATTTACACACAGATTTCTCAAGGTGTTAATTTGTATGTTAATATTACAAAGGAAAATGCATTTATGCAAACAAAACCATTAGGCCCCTTTTAAACAAAGACATTGACAAGTGTTGGTACACTATTATTATATGTATATTTCTGGTTTAAATATAGTATTTATGACTACAACTACAAAAAGCCATATTCCCACACTTGACAGTAACATAGTAAAACTTCAACATCTACCACAATACAAAATATATGAGCTCAGTGTCCTCAGTGGCACGTCTTATCTCAATTATAACAATAACCAAGTGAGTGAAACATTGGCAATCATTACTGTGACTCCAAGGTTAAAGTGTTCCTGCAACATACAACATGTTTATATTATGTGCAACAATGTCAGAGAAAAGCCAACTATATATTTTTTTGTTGAATCAAGATAAAGAACAACAACCTAATCTGTATGGCCTCGAGATTTAAATGCCTCTTATCTTTCTTCCTGATAACGCTAATCCTACAACGATAAACAGCTTCATCTGGCTGAACAATTCCAGATATATTAGTCGTTTTTATTGTTAAAAATCAACGTTGTACATAATTTAATATTTTTGCAAGCATTCGTAATGAGATTTAATAAAAACAGCCAAACTCATCATTCTGTGTCATATTTTGTTTTTCCAGCTATCAGGGACTCTAACCATCCCGTGGTGGCAGTGGTTTCTGACCCGCTTTGGAAAGAAGAAGGCGGTTTACTTTGGCATCTCTGTGAGTAAAAAAACATCTTATTTTAGGCACAACAAAGACATTCATTCAAAAAGGATGCAAGTGTATGGATTTGCTGACATCCTCCTGTCTTTTTCTATAGTGGGCCGTACCCTTCATGCTCCTCATCGTCTGCATCAAGAGCCACCTGATCATTTCTTACTTGGTCTCCGTGGCGGCAGGTGTGAGCGTGGCGGCAGCTTTCCTCCTGCCTTGGTAAGCACGAGTTATACTACAAAACCCACACCATCCATACGCAGATATCGATATGTTGTTGTTGTTGTCCCAAGTTTCCCTCTAAACGTTGTGTTTTCCAGGTCAATGCTTCCTGATGTCGTGGACGACTTCAAGGTCAGAAACCCAGACATCCACGGCCACGAAGCCCTCTTCTACTCCTTCTACGTGTTCTTCATTAAATTTGCTTCGGGAATGTCTCTGGGTGTCTCTACGCTCAGTTTAAAGTGAGTTCAACACCTGTAGGATGATTCTCACATACATTTTTATCCTCACTGTCACCCCTGAAAGCTAGTCTGTCTCCAACACTAAAAGAGATTAGCTCCATGTTGGCGCTCATCAGTCTGGTGATCATGTGGTCGCCAATCCCATAATCCTTTCCCTAACAGTGTTTCACAACTGTTTTCACATCAGCTCAACATTTCTCTCTTTATCTACATTTGTTCGCAGATTTGCGGGCTATGTGACCGGGAGCTGTGTACAACCTGAGGCGGTCAGTTTAACCCTGAAGGTGCTGGTCTCTCCTGTGCCTGTGGCCCTTATAGCTGTGGGACTTTTGATATTGAGGACCTATCCTATTGATGAAGAAAGGAGGCAGGGCAACCAGAAGCTACTGCAGGAAATGCTGTAAGTGAAATGCACACGGAAGCGCTCAAAACACAGAAGAAGACGTTTTTGCACGCTGTAAACAAACTTCATGGATGCTAAATTGAGTTCCACTCTGTAAACCTGAGCTACATTTAAATGAAACCTTTTTAAAAAACTGTTTAGCTCCGCTGTTTATTCAAGCTAGCCAAGTCCTTTGTGAGTAACTTGTGTGTTTTTGCATCCTTTAACAGGGACTCCGAGTCTGAAACTTCAGTGCTGGGGAGTGAGGTGTAGCAACAGCGGAAGGGCCAGACACCACAGCTGCTTTAACCTATTTGCACAAAACTGTCGAGGGACACGACCACCAACTATCTGGACTAACAGAGAGACCACAGACCACAGCTGCTGCTGCACAAACATCCTCAGCATTAAGGCTCCCTGCAGCGGACCACACAGGTTTACATCGCCCTCTAGTGGCCGGTCCGGGGCATCTCTTGTGTTGTCCTTTATCTCCAGCTGTGTCCCAATTAAATATGCCAAAACTTAAAGTTACAATTTGTTCTATTTAAAGGGTTTCTTACATTGTTTAACTGACACACAGCACAGTCCATCTTTTAAAGAACTGCACAGTGAAATCATTATCATTTATTATAAGAAACCCTTTTTTAGTTTTGTATTCAATAACTACAGCTTTTATAAGTGTGACTCATTGGAGTTGTAATCCTTCTATGGTGGAGTTTTACTCAACAGACTGAAATGAAACAGAGTTTCAAAAGAGGTGTGACTTTGTGTCCTGAGATGTTCCTTTATACAATGTTTTTTTACCTCCACAAGTTGTAGACAGCCTTTTTTTTTCATCAACACCGTTACTACACTCTGCTGTGAATGCAGTGCACTACATACTGAAATACTTGGTCAGAATTGGGACACAGCTTGTGATCTATAGTAGTTTATGAAGTATTTATTTGCTGGTTTACATGTTCTAACCTTCACTCGTGCAGACTGGAGTGTGATGTTACCGTTAATGTTTACAACGTCTTAGGTCACTTGTGTTTGCCTTTCCATTCAGACAGCGTGCTCTGAAGGAAACACACACGTTCAGCCCTTAGTTATGAAGGGTATACCAGCACTATCCCAGTTAGTTCAAGTTAAAAACTTGGATCTCCTGAAGGGGAAAAGGCACCTTGAGGTATGATACTATGTGTGAATCACTGCCTTACATTTTCACCTTAAATTATTAGTTGCAATGAGATTTCTGTTGAAATTCTTGCTCAGGTTTTTTAGTTTTTGCTTCACAGAATAGTTTTTCCCATTCAACCTTTTCTGTGCTTTCACATTTCAGCCAATCTCTTCTCTTCTGGTTTATTAGATCTTTCTGAATGTGCTTTCACATCGTAGTCCACTCCAGTATGAAGTCATACAGCATGTTCTCCCCTCCCAAAGGGAAGGGAACCATGATTTTTTTTAACTATTTATTTGAATGAAATATTTAAGGGATTCTTTTTTTGTTTCTTATAAAGGCACATGTTGATAATAATTTATGAACCTTGAGTGGTTAGTGATTTTCATGTCCTGTGGAGAAAACTTGAAATCAAACATCAAAATGGTGGGAAAGTGGAAAAAGTTGCTGTAATGTGATAAACATACTGCCTTCACAGTGTTACTGGTATTATTAAGATTTCATAGACACCTCTTTGAAACTTAATATATTTCTGTATCTATAATTTTCATTCTAAATTGCTCTGAGAGAGGTGAATGAAGCACATTACGTCTCTGAAGTGTTATTTGTAGATGTGTGTATAATATGTAAATACATTTCTCCAAGTTTGACCAATATATAAATCAATGAAAAGATGAAAAATGTGGTGTACATTTTTAATTTAAGTCTGTAAATAAAGTTTGTAAAAACAGAAAACTTTCTATGGGTTTGAAATATCAAAATCTAGAATATTTAACTAAATTGTTCGCATATATTTAAAAAGGAAACTGATTGGCCCATTGATAACGTTTCCTAGTTTTGAACCCTTGACAATAATGTTAATATTATGTAGTATGTCAATGTAACTGCCAATAAATAGGACATACAACATATTTACAGTAAGTATTTTTTGAAAATGAAATTAACAAAAGCTGCTCAATGATACGAACCATTATTTGGTACATTTAAACCATAGACTACATACAGATTTAAAAACATTTTTTTCTTGGAATTCAAAGAAATAAAACGTTTGAAAAAAGAAAAACGGGCCTGTGTTCACTCCGGAAGAGGATTAGGGCCACGTGAATGTATGGATCTGACCAGAAGTTTTTAATATATATAAAAATATGATTTATTTCTCAGAATTATGACTTTAATCTCAGAACTAACATTTGTTTTCACTTTTGTTCAGATTTCCAAAAAAAATCTAGTGTGGCCCCCCTCCTCTTCCGTTTTCACTGCACAACAAACGTTAAATACATTTCCCCTATTTCTCTTTAATTTATCATCTTTCTAAAATAAAACTCACTCTACTACAGTCGTTAGACACGTTTTTAAGTCACGAATAAACATTGAAACTTCCACTAGTTGCTTTTAAAGACTGAAACACCCAAATGAAGCTGAACATCGCCGCGTGCTGCCCATAGGCTGCTGATTTATCCTCGCGCCTAATTACCTCCAGCCGTGGCCGCGAGCGTCTCGTGCAGATTGAAAAGGAAAGGTAGAAGGACAGCACATTAGTTTGTTGCGATGAAAACAAAGTGTATCTATATAATGTGGAGTGTTTTATCACTTGGCATCCTCAGCTACGCACAGGACACTTATGAATCTCCATTCACCCGAAGGAAAACGCATTTTAAACAGCAACAATCCAAATCAGTCAAACATTTAACGACAGACGACAGAACACCACCCCACCGGTTACCTGCCATTCCCTCCCCATTGTCTGTACTCACTTTCGCGTTTAATCGTCCTGAGGAAAAGCTCCAGTCGGACTTTGCTTACCTGCAAGACGTTTCTGTCACCTGCTCCACGACTGACTTTGTCTTGCGGGTCAACCCAGTTTTCTACGGCCAGGGTGCCAATGCAGAGGAGCTGAGACTAGGCAGCGGCTGCAAAAGCAATGGGGTTCTCAGACCCTACGGTGACCTGCTCTTCACGTACCCTCTGACGGCGTGTGGAGCCGTGCGGGAGGTAAGATTTGTGTTGCTTGTTTCCAGTCTCTGTCCCTGCATACTCTTAACATATCAGTGTCTGACCCCCTCTTGGACTTTGACAGTCGCCCCCCGGTTATCTGCTCTACAAATTCACACTCCATTATGAGCCTTCGCCAAAACGTTTCCCAACCAGAGCGCAGCGGATCGATGTGGACATTGAATGCCGTTATCAAAGGTTTGTCTCAGCTTTTTTTCATCATCTTGTGTGTGTTTGTGGGGAAGCTCGATTTTCTATATCTCCATGTCCAGGAACCACCATGTGCACAAGCTGACCGTGCAGCCCACCTGGGAGTCTCCTGTTATGCGTAAAAAACTGAAGGGATATGCAAATGACTTCAAGATGGAGTTGATGGATGGTATGTTTAAAGAACAGTAGATTGCAGGAATAAAGAGCTTCTGGCCCCATTTTATTTGATATATTTATGTTTTAGATTTGTGGAGCACACCTGCCCAGTCACGGATGTACCAGCTTGGAAAGACGGTTCATTTCCAGATCTCTGCACCTCATCTCTCAACTGGTTCAAAACTGTACATCAATAGCTGCTATGCTTCACCATCCAGTGACTCTAAATCATCCCTCCGATACATCATCATTGGCAATTTTGGGTGAGAAAAGTGGACGGTAGTGCATTTTTAGAAAAATCTTTTGGTTTGGGTTCTTTAGTGTCATATTGTTGTTGTCCACAGCTGTATGCTGGACAGTAAGAGCGACCAGGGGGCGTCTCGGTTCGTCTCTCGGACAGACAAGACCCTGAGATTCTCCATCCAGGCCTTCCAGTTCACTGCAGACCCTGACTCCGAGGTGAGTGTGGTTTATCATTCTCTGGATTCTCCTAGTTATTCTTTAGCTGTGGCTTAACTCAGTTTCTTTTTTAGGTTAATATTCAGTGCAAGTTATTAGTCTCATCTGAAGACCCGGATCCTGCTCACAAATCCTGCACCTACAAAAAGAACAGGTGAGATTTGGCACTTTCAACTACATTTCCATTACAGGACTGTAGTCTTTCACCTGTTTCCACATGGATTGAGAATATTTGTGTTGCATTTGCCATGACAGGTGGAAGGCTCTCTCTGGTGACAAGTCCATATGTGACTGCTGTGATTCACAGTGTGTGCCCTCTAAACTCCAGAGGGCCATGACGGAAGGTTTGTCTTCTTTGTTGTTTTAAGACATGTATAGTATGCACCCATTCCTACTCGGATGTATTGGATTGTAGTGGTAACTTTAAGTGGCGCTAAACAACATGTTTGTATCACTTACAATTATCTTATGACCCACCAAAAGTGGAATGGGAGAATGGACACCCTACAGATGTTTACGTGCATTAAGACAATATCTTTGTTTGACAGCAAATGAGGCATTATAAGAAAGTGCACATTGTGACCATTTGGATAAAACCATGGGTGTTAACATGTTTTTTACAGAGGGAATTTTCGATATCTCTTTGTAACATTGCACGAATCTAAATCTAATATTTGACATGTTTTTAGGAATAAAATGAAATATATAAATCAGGATAGCGATACCCCCTCTCTACAATCAGGGTTCTTACGGTCATTACAAACCTGGAAAAGTCAAAATGCTAATTCCAGGCCCTGGAAAAGTTATGGAATACAATATTTTTCCCAAAGTTTTGGAAAAGTCATGGAAATGTAACTAAAGTTGAATCAAATATAGTTTATATTTTATCTAATCGCTGAAATAGTAATACTATAATGATAATAGATACTGTATAGTAATGAAACGTAAAATGGCATTTAACTGTCGAGGTATTTTGCTGGTGAGAGATTTTAGTTGCTTTAGCATGTAGAAGCTAGTAAGCCTATTTGATTTGTTTTAGATAGGCACGACATGTTTCATATGCAGACCTTATTTTCCTATACCATGTTAAAGTAAACCATTTTAAGAAATAAAATAAACATGCACCTAAATGTGTATTTTTGGATGTTTTTATTTCAACTCGTTTTTAGAGAAAGGCATGTTATGGAAGCAACACATCCCAAGCTCTCAAAATTGACCAGGTTATGCGAAAAATATTTTTTTAATGTCTTGCCTTAAGTTATATAAATGAAAGTGATAACACATTTCTACTTTTAACTTTATATTTCAGGTTTTTCCAGCAGTGGGTCTTTGCTGGTCTCTGATCAGCCGTACAAGACAGAAGATGACCTTCTACCAGTCGGCATTAGCGGAGTCGGCCATGTCACGATACATGACACCGATAAGCTGCACAGTCAAGAGACCCCGCTGGAAAGTGAGGATGTAGTGACTTACGACGATGATGATTACGACGAAGAGGGGTTTGAAGAGGATGAAAGTGGGTTTATCCTTCGAGTGATGCCTGAACCTGATTCAGAGGAGTTAGTATTTAGGGACAGGGTTTCAGTTGAGTCTAAGGTGAAGGATTCACATCAGTTAAAAGAGGATGAGTCAGGGTTTGGAGGGCGAGAAGAGAGTGAAGAGGAGGAGGAATTTGAAGGAGGAGAAGATGAGACCCATTGGAATCAGGAGGAGGCTGAAGTCTTACGTCATTGGGAGCAGTTGGATGAAATCTTCACATCACAAGTCGTCCCACAGAGAGAGTCACTGCTGCCGGCCTCTGAAAGTGAGGAAGAAGAGAGGAAGCGTGGAGGTGAAGAGCATGAGAAGATGATGATGGAGGAGAGGAAGCATACAGGTGGAGGTGAAGAGCATGAGAAGATGATGATGGAGGAGAGGAAGTATACAGGTGGAGGTGAAGAGCTTGAGAAGATGATGGAGAGGAAGCATACAGGTGGAGGTGAAGAGCATGAGAAGATGATGGAGGAGAGGAAGCATACAGGTGGAGGTGAAGAGCATGAGAAGTTGATGGAGGAGAGGAAGCATACAGGTGGAGGTGAAGAGCATGAGAGGAGGATGATGATGGAGTTGGAGGATGACGACAGTCCAGAAGATTTAGTAGATGATGGAAGGAGGACCTGGTATTTCCCATGGATGTAGCATTGGGTCAATGGATCGATCAGTGTTCTGCTCAAATACTGTAACCCCCATGATAGGAGGATATTCCGATTTATTTCAATAAAAAACATGAACATGCAGCTGATGGATTTGTCAATAATTAAAAACATGCTAATCAGGAACTTAAGTTCTCAATGTTTAAATTTCATTGGAAGATTTGTATTGATCTTCAACATTGATTCAAACGAGCCATGACAATTAAGAATAATGTCAACTCTGAAATGCCATAGTTTTACTTGCATATACCTGAGGCTTAAGAAAGCTGAAACTAAAAATTGCAACAATCAATATCAGAAAAAAAAAGATGCTCATCAGTCCATAAATCTTTATTCTTTCCATTATAAATGATTTATTACAATACAGTGTCTGAAACCAGTTTGAAATATATTATAGTTCAATACAGAAATATCCCACTGTTTGAGCATCAACTGATAAAGGGCAAAGCCTCCATTATCAGTAACTAAAAGCAGCAGAAAAGATATTGCTTTGCAGGTCTGCTCATTGGTTCTGTGACTTCTCATTGTCACCCAAAGAGCTTTTAATCATAAAAAAGGACATGTGGGATTTTGGAAAACACATATTTGGACATGATTAGGCGATACAAACAAACTTGATTTTAAATGATACACAGATTTAACACACATTCTGTCTGTGGAGACTCCTCTGAATGTGAAAACAGGAAACAAATAACTTAATATAATTAATACTTTTTAAAAAACATTGCTGTGGAAACCGTTTTGGAGAAAATATAGAACAGAACTCTGTAGAACAGATCCATCAATGCTATATTTACAGATGAGCGCCCAAAAGTCCCATTGTTACATCTAAAACTGATTCAGCAGGACATACGTCGATGTGTGACACTAGAGGGCGGTATATTCCCATCTCGTGCAACGGAAAGCTCAGAAGCACCTCTGGCAAAAGAAAATATGCTGTATTCATTTTTGGTAAAATGCAAACTTGAGAAAATGAAGACCCACACCATTAACTTTAAAGTCGGAGAATTTCCTTTAAAATCCAGAACTTTTACAAATGCAATCCTTGAGATAAGCATCTCATCCATCCAAATCCAGTGTCTTGCTTCTCACACAAAGACCTTGCAGCAGATTCAGTGTTATTGTTAAGTCCTTCCCAGGTCTCCTTCAGTCTTTACAATCATGTGGATGGCGTCTCTCCTCCTTCAACAGTACCTGCTGTCCCATTCGTTTTCTCCGTAGCATCTGAGGTTGGATAAGAAAAATAGTCAGTTTAATGAAATCAGAAAAGTTACATCATAAAATAAAAAACGGATTTAAACATTATCATAAACCCATATGAGCTGCTTTTAGCTGTTACGTATCGAGGCATTTATTACAAAAGTGAAACCAGGTAAAAACAAACTATGTTCTTGAATTAGTTGAATTTATTAAGATGATCGCTGACCTGGAATACATTTGGAGAGTATTAAGGTCGAAATGATATGAATGTGGGAAGCATGGTTTATAGCATTTTAGCATGCTGACGTTAGCATCTATCATTAGATTGCTGTTCAGAACTAAAGCGTTTCAGAGACTGTATAGACTTTGAGACTTGTTTATCAATTCCAGTCTAACTCCAATATTTTTTTTATTTAAATTGAATAATCTCTCTTACCCTTGACACCGTCTTGCAGTGCTTCCTGTCCTGCAGTTTGCTCTGTCCCTTCACTGTCCTCGATCTCTTTCCCCTTCGTTTTTGGTTTCCTTGCAACAGGTGGTGGCACCTTAACTTCCTTCTTGACCCACTTCGCTTCGCCTGCCACCTTCTGTACGGTGGCCATGTCCTCCGGTGCCGGCTTGGTCTCGATCACCACCCTCTTGTTGCTCTTGGAGAAGATAAAGCTTGCTGTGCTGCAGGGGGACTTTTGGGGGTCTTTTGGCGACGTTGGGGAGTTCAAACTGAGGCGGGATGCGGGGCCGGTTTTTGATCTGGCCGCTGTCCTCAGGCGGATGGCCTCCTGCAGGTTCATGGAAGGAGAGGCCGTCATGGCAGGTGGAGACCTTTTTGCTGGGGTTGGGGAGGCAGGCAGTACCAAAACAGAATGGGTCTCTGGCAGAGCTAGTTGTTCAGTGTCTGTGGCAGGGGGGGAGGCGGGTGGTGAAGATGTGGTTGGTGGTGAATATGTGGTTGGTGGTGAGAGGATTATCAGAGACCTTCTGATGGGCTTCTGAGGAGCCTCACCACTGGCAGATGAGGGGGGGGCAGGGTTGCTGGGCTGCTGCTTCCTCATGGTAACCTCCACCGCTGTTGGCTCCTGAGCTTTAGGAGGCTCAGGGCTGCTGCTGCTGACTGACCGCAGCTTGACCATCTCCAGAAGGGAGGGGCTGACAATGAGGGAGGGTCCCTCCTGTGCAGCGGGGGCAGAGGTCCGCTCCGGGGTTTGGTTCTCTGTGCTTACAGGACTAGGCTGCTCCTTAATGCTGGCAAGGCCCTGCAAAGGTAAAGGTGGAGCTAAAGGAATGTTTACAGGTGGAGAAGGAGCAGGTTCTTCAGCCTTTTCTGGTGGGATAGAGACTTCTGGGGAAGGGGAGGGCTCCTGGGTCGCTGGACCATGGGTGTTCAGGGGTAAAACCTGAGAGTGGAGGAGAAGCTGTATAGGAGGTGGAGGGGGAATACTCTGAGGGGGAGTGAGAGTACTGTGAGATGAAACCACGGAGCTCTCTCCGGACAGATCAAGTTCTTTCGCTGGTGGATTTGGCTGTGATGGTAGGGAAGGTGGAGGAGGAATACTTAGTGGTGGAGTAAAGCTCTTAACAGGTGTGGCCTCCTCAGAAGATTGACAGGCCTTCTCTTGAGCAGATGGAGGAGACACTTCTTCAGTGGACAGACAGGATATGTCTTCAGGACCTGGTGGAGCGGAGACCTCGATAACTGGTGGAGGAGATACCACCGTCACCAGTGTGCTGGAGACCTCATTGACGTGAGCAGGGGGGGTCTCCTTTGGTTCCAAAGGAGTAACCTTAATAAGGGGCGGAGGAGTCATTTCTTTATGTGGTGTAGAAGAGACCTCCTTAGGTGGTGACGGAGGGGAAGTTTCTTTAGGTGGTGATGGAGGAGAAATACCCTTAGGCGATGGTTGAGGAGACATTTGTTTAGGCGGTGTTGGAGGGGATGTCTTTTTAGGTGATGGTGGAGGAGAAACCTTCTTAGGTGGTGGTGGAGAGACTTCTTTAGGTGGTGGTGGAGGAACAACCTGCTTAGGTTGTGTCGGAGGGGAAGTTTCTTTAGGTGGTGGTGGAGAAGAAACCTCTTTAGGTGGTGGTGGTGGTGGTGGAGAAGAAACCTCTTTAGGTGGTGGTGGAGAAGAAACCTCTTTAGGTGGTGGCGGAGGAGAAACATGCTTAGTTGGTGTTGGAGGGGAAGTTTCTTTGGGTGGTGGCGGAGGAGGAATATCCTTAGATTTGGGCGGAGGGGAAGTTACTTTAGGTGGTGGTGGAGTGACTTGTTTAGGTAGCAGTGGAGAAGAGACCTTTTTGATTGTAGGAGGGGACACTACATTAACTGGTGGAGGGGGAGCTGTGTATGGTGGGGGAGGTGGGATATTCAGGGGTGGAGGTCCCTGGTCTGTGATCACCACTGATATAACGGACGTAGTTGTACACGTGGAGCCACCACCAGAAGAGGAGTTCTCCTGTGGCAACTGAACAGGTAACACGAACCCCACCTCACCGAACATGGGGGGAGGCGGAAGAGGGAAGTCAACATCATCAGGCCCATTGAGGCCCACTTTTGCCATTGGTGGAGGCGGTGGGGGCCAGGAGGCCTCGGGGGACACAACGACTGATGGGGTTGGCGGTTGGGGAGGGTGGTGCGCTGGAGGAGGAGAGGGAGATGGAGTAATGCGTGTTAATGAAATGGTGGTTAACGTATCCATGTGAGTCTTTACATCTGGGTCTTGTGTGGATGCTGGTTTGACCTCTTCTTCTCTCACCATGGATAGCCTTCCTTCACGCTTCTCTACGGCCTTCACTAACATGCTGTTTACTATGTCACTTGCTCTCACTTTCTCCTCTTTTTCTGTCACTTTCCCATTTCCTTTCAAATCAACGTTCTGCTCAGCCAGTCTGTCGAGGGTCTCTTTGTGAACCTCTGCACTCAAAATCCCACTTTCTTGACCTTTCTTTGTTTCCAGAACACGGAGGGCTCCGCTAATGGACTCCACTGTTACATTCAGATTCTTTGCAGAAGGAGACTGCCTCTGGGGTCTCCTGTCCTTTGGATTTCTCTTTATGATGGCGTAAAGGTTATCAGGCACCGGGGGTCCCAGCAGCAGCTCAAATGAACGCTTGCTGTGAGCCCACACCTCTGGAGGAGGCGGTGGAGGTGCGTGGATTTTAGGTGGCGGAGGGATGTTGAAGAGTTCCCTCAAGGCCCTTACAGAAGGGCCGACAGTTTCAACTGTGGTAACAGGTTTGAGTTCCTCACGGAGAGGAGGTGGCGTTGAACCAGACCCAGGAAATAACCGTTGAAACTTTGCGAAGATGCCTCTCTTGTGCCTCGGAGATGGGCTGTGGGACTCTTTGGAAACCTGTGTGGATGTGCCTTCTTGGCTGGAGTAGCCACTGGATGGAGAGACTATTCTGCTAAGCTTATTCTCCGGATCCTTCTTCTCTTCTGAAGAGTCTTTCGCTCTTTCGGCTTCCTCTGATTTTCGGGCCTGCACCTGGGATCTGATGGGGCTAAATGACACAGAGCCTGTAGAGTCCTCCAGTGAACTGGTGTCAGCGGTATATCCAGGGCTGGAGGGCGAAGATCCCAATTTATTTTGTTCATCTTCCTCACCTGAAGCTGAGGTGTTATTTAGAGAGGATTCCCTTGAGTTGACCCTAACTTCTGCCAGATCCCTGGACCGCCGCTTCATCTTATTGTGGAGGGAAAAGGTGCGGCTCGGAGGAGGAGGAGCCCTCTTGGGCTTCATGACGGAGAGGCTACGTGAAAACGGCGCCTCCTTCTTAACCTCGTCTCCTTTAACAATGAGCTTGCCATTGGAGTTGCATTTTGAAGCCCCGCTGATGGATGAGTGAACACTGATTTTGTCCTCTTTAGCATCTCCATCCTGGGACCTATTCTGTCTAGGGGTGCTGCTGCTGGAGATGGTGGAGGAGTCCGATACCAAGGTGTCTGAGGACTCAGAGTTGCTCCAACAAGAGCTGTCGGACATATTGTGAGGGTAGTTGCGGGAGGCAGAGGTGATGTTGGAGGCTCTGGAGGAAGAGGTTCTGGAGGAAGAGGCTCTGGAGGAAGCCCTGGAGGAGGCCGGGCTGGGCATCACCAGGCTGCTCTTGCTGACGGTGCGCACGCTGTTGCGACTCCGTCCACGGCTGATTTCCACCACATCGATGGAGGGTGGCAACACAGCATTTGGAATGATTTTGGACATGTAGGGTGCCTGGGGGGACATGGACATGACGGGGCTGGGCAGCTCCGGCTGGAGGCTGTTAGAAGTGGTCATACCGGGAACGGCCATGGAGTGAGGCCTCTGCCCATCTGACAGCTCGGGGCCCAGGTGATTCAGCAGGGCCAGGTCATCCCTATGACCAGCATTGGGGGCACCGAGCTGCTCGAGATGGTGTTTGTGGAGGGGATGGATGAGGCTCATGTCCTGAAGGCTGGCACCAGCTCTGGTTTGTGACTGAGGCCTATAGGCTGTCGGGCTGTCGTCAGATTCACCATTATAAAGATGCTCCTCATCTAACCTCTGAGTCAGTGACCAACCCACTCTGTCCAGACCTGATGAGAGAAGACAAGTTCATAGTTATTATTTAGGAAATGAACGCACAAATAAACAATCTATCATCAATTTGTTCTAGATAGAAGACCGTAACACAGGCTTATTCAATTGGCTGTATACATGAATACAATTTCAAAGCTAAAGAAGAAATACATCTGAGAAAATTCACTTTGTTTGCGTCCAGCCAAAGTTTTCTCCCCCATTTTTAAATTAAAACACAGACTATTTGTGAGGAGCATAACTCTTCTCATCTTATGTTTTGAAGATAATATGTGTATGGAACACAAACTAGGAAAAAGAAAGAAGGTGTTGGTTAAAAAGGACAGAAAGAGGTGAGGTCGGTCAATTAACCACCTCAGAATAATAGCTCAGCTCTCTGAAAAAGTGGCCGTCTAAACAATATAAATGTATAAACCTGCAGTAACATAACCACCTTTTGATATCATTTTAAATGCAACACATACAATTGAAAAATAAATGTATAGATGCATGCATTTTGTAAGTTATGATTAGCTGCATACCCAGTTCTCTCTGAACATGCTGTGGGATTCCCCCGACAGTCTTCCTGTGTTTTCTCCTCGTCTTGGTCTTTTCTGACTTTTTCCCATGATTCAAGGGCCTGAATGTTGACCCTGGGCCGACAGAGGCAAGAGAGAAACATTAGAAAAACATCATGATGAAACAACCTGCACATCTCACCAATTACATGTTTTATCTGTGAATGTATATGTGTGCATCACATATGTTGTATAAAATATGTACTTTCAAGTAGGTAGTAATAGCATTTTACGGTTGTGGTTAAGTTACCTTGCCTGGTGAGACCAGAGCGGGAGGACCTCGTGGACACAGATGATTGCACAGAGACGACAGAAGATGAGTCAGCAATAGTGCTGTCTGTCATAAACCCTTCCCCGTCCGTTTGGACCGTCATGTTCGACTGGCAAAAAGGAGAGACATTCTTTTGTTAAAAAAATCTGTACATGGAACTTTGTGTTTTGGGTAATTGTGAGTAAAAAAAAGGCAATTCTAGGTAAGATGTGTCACTTACAACTGTGCTCATGTTGTCCTGGAACTCCATTCCATTATTGGTTTCTGCACAAGAGAGAAATATTATATTAGCAATTAAAATATTCTAAGCAGTGTTTATATCCTGTGGTGCACACCCTCTCGTCTTGAGCAATATGCAAACAGTTGGCACACCTCTAATTGACTGCACATGTGTATGACTAAGTCACTAGAGCGCTTTGTACCTTCCTGCTGCATCATTTTCAGTCCCTCCAGGGCCTCAGTGTGGAGGTTCTCCAAGTACTCAGGCCTGCTGGCCTCGATGAACACATTCTCCTGTAACAGCGGGGGGGCCGGGGTCTTGTCATTGTCATCTCGCTTTTGGACAGCTTGAAGAGAGAGAGAGGAGAGAGGGGATCAGCCTGGATCAACTAAAAGCTGTGTGTTACTGTTATAGTAGATAAAGGGGGCCATATGGCCAGGGTGAGGTCCTTCAGGTGTCTGCCAGAAACATTTAAGTACAGTAGATTGTTTTACGGTTAATTACACGAGAATGTGCGATTAATAAGGCTGAACTTCCTCATCCTCACGCAGGATTAAACTCCAGCGCAGTACAGTGACCTTTAGGAAAGGATTATCATATTAAAAATATATCCGGCACAGGTAGGAAAATCATATTCGCAGGTTTAACTGCTCTCGAGAAGACTGTAATACAGTACCTGAGCCTTAATTGATAAAACAATGGTTACATCATTTTAGGGATATTGCTCTAAAACGAATGTTATTAGCTGTTATTCCTAAAGTGCAGGTGTCCACTGTAGAGTGTTATATTGTGTTTTATATTGGTGACTTTATTGCAAGAAAATGGTAATATGTATAAAGTATGTTAAGAACTGTTTATTTGTTTAATAATCCTTGTCTTTGGTATGTTGTCTACGACGATTTTCACGTTACAAAAATCCACCGTCAGGTAATATGCTCAGTATTGCAAATCTTCTTGGAGCCAAAATATCACTAAATTACATAATGTAAATTAAACTAAATAAATTACAGTCAAATCTTGTTCATGCTAAATGTACCAGTTCAACCTTTTGTTAACCAATTATAAGACACCTGAAATTCAGCATGTATGTACCATGAGCACTATTGTGGCTTGTGAAGAATTCTGTGTAGATCACGGTCATGTTTGCATTATAAAAGGACTTCAAAGTCAGACACTTGAGAGAAACCAAGATAAAAATAAAAACTTGACGTTACAGTAGCTTAAGATTTGCTGACCAACAGGATTGCCTTTGAACTCTAGGATTTATGTGGTGCTCGCACGCTCCCAGGACTCAGTCTGGGATCATTCGACTAACAACCTGCTAAGACACTTTTATGTAATGGTCTCAGCTGCTCCACACTTTGCCACCCACTGTACTCTACTGTCCGCTCTGTCGTGTAAGACCATGCTGCAATTATCTAGCCATGTGCTCACTGATCGTTTTACCACTGTCTGTTTGGTAACAGCATTAGAGTTGCTCCCAATAAGCAATTATCTATAAATATGCAAAATTCTAGTTACCTTATTCTATTTTAAAGCAAGTCTTAGTTGCAAGAGTGAGACTAGAAATCACAGCATATCAGATAAAAAGAGATAACAAACTGACAGTAGTTTTTATGGTCCACAGATATAGTAAACTACCACAATTATATTACTTTACTGCGTCTATGGGAGCAATTGGATCCAGCCAGTCTGTTGAAACTGCTTTTCAAGTATGACCCAATCAGGACGAAGCAATTGGCTAAAGTCATAAACAAATCTAATGTTATCTGGTCATTTCCAACAAGTGTGGTGTTCGGACTCACCTTTCCTCCTGAAGAGAGTTGGTAAGCAGTAGTAATTAGTACTAGAGTTATTAGTCAGAAGCAGTACCATAGTCGCAAGTAAAGTGCCCCAAAAGTACGCTGAAACTAGGCCAACGTTGGGTTAAAGAAAGAGGAAGAAAAATATGATCTAGATCAAATCCGTCAGTTTGAAAAACATCCTGGTAAAATCACTCCTGATCACGGCAGGATGTGAGTCTTTCTTGTTTTTGATCAAGTTGTTGTTTTCCTTTTAGGTCCATGCAGAGCGTTGAAGGTCTCTACAGCCAATAGACAATCAGAGCTCAGACTAATCCTCAGCAGCCTAATTCCTGCCAGCTCTCTCTATTAGGTCTCCCCCACTCGCTGCCCAGCATCCCACTGTTGCCCCCCATCCGTGGGCACGCTCGCCCCGGATTGGTCAGTCAGGGCGCAGATCAAAATAAGATCATACATGTAAACATTGAAGGGAAGGGAAAGCTGTTGTCAGGGATTTTGGAGGTATAGAGCGTCACTTGAGCCCCAGCTTTGGAAATAAACAACACAACACTCCTTTGTTAGATTATACAACATTTTCACTGAAGTACTACGTTAACACCCCAAATGTGTATACTTCCTCACAATTTATTATGGGACATATAATTGTATTGTTTTTTGCCACAAGGGGGAGTAAGCGAATTAAAAGATTCTATTCCTTTAAACAAGATTAAAAACATGTTTGGAAAGAGGGCTGCAGTTCCCTATTGTTCACTGCAGCATTGCCTCAGATTTGATAATGAAATACCTAAATAACTCAGTTAATCTAGAGTTGCTGTATAAAGATGGATTTAAAGATCTGAGCATTTAACACCTTTTTAACCGGTTTTTAGGGCAAACTTGTGTTGACTATTTCTTCAGCTTTTTTCTTTTTGTGTTCTGTTTAGAGCACTTCAAACTGCGGCTAAGGGGGTTTTGTCACTTCCTGGTGTGCGGAGCAGACATGACGAGGAATGTATACCATCTGAACAAATGGAAAACATTCCCATGGTCGTGATGCTACCTAGTGACTCAAGACAAAAGCAGTTTACAAAATAAAATAAAAGAAATGAACCATATGTGTGTAAGCAGCCCATAGCAACGAGTGGAAAAAAAAGATCACCATTTCACCGCTTGAGTGGAGGCTTCAACCTCTGGATGTAAACAGAAAGTTGATATGCATGTGTGGGGTGAAGTCAGTGTGGGACAACACTTATCTGGTTACCATGACAGCACACACTCCGCTGGAGTGACGGGTGGGGCCGGCCACACGTTAACGAGGGGTCATGTTATCACTGATTCTGGGGTCACATTGTTATTGTGTACAAATTCATCACTGACATATTAAAGATACCATCTGTCACTGAAGCCGGCGATATTGACGGGCTGGTTGTGATTATTTAAGAACAGCAAACTGATGTTTACAGCGTGGATTTGGATAAACAGATTAATCCTATGGATTTGATACAGCGTGATCAGATCTAAGTTATCTGTTTCAGCCCCTCGTGAAAAAAAACGTGTTGAAGAAATGCTCTTTTTGGGAATCGTAATGAATTATCATTACATTTCTGAAATGTAACTAATGGTGGGATCAAATTAGAGCAAAGATCTTTTGGCAAATGTAAAAAGATGTACTGTTTTGGGAGTAAACAGAGACAGAAGGGCTTCAGGAGACATGTTGCGTCACTTACTAACAAATTACAACCAGCAACACAGACAGCAATGAAGTGTGTTTATGATACGCAACCATGGTAATATATTGTACAATTTAGCTATGAATAGCAATTTCAAAAATAATGAGCACTGATCTTTGAATTGATAGAGATTGAGAAAGTAAGACCATGAATAGTAAGGGTTTATTAACCCTTTTTTCTGTTTATTTAAAAAAGCAAGGCTTCAAAATTACAACATTTAACATTTACTAAACCTTTTTAGCGCCTAGCCTACGATCAACAGTTTATCTATGGCCAACAGCCTGTTGTAAAAAGATCAGGACAAGTCTTAGTCTCTTTCAAAGTGTATTTATTAGGTAAAGTTCTTGATTACGTTTACGCTGAATATACTGAATCCTTAGGTCAAATGTAACTTTATTCGAGTTACAGATTCTGATATCAGCCTTGTTTTAAAATCCAGCCCCGGGTTACTTAAATTCCCAGAAAAAACACACTGTGTGTGGTCACTGTCCTCAGTGGCTACAGCTTGCTGTTAGATATTTCAATTCACTACAAAAGCAATGGACAACATATCACTTTTTGTGATGATCTCCGGTAGCGCCATGTGCTAAACGGCCATAATGAAAGAAAGAAGGGGGAGTAGAAGGAAAGACACGTTGCACCGCTTCAGAATGTAGTCAAAATATAAAGAGCAACAGTTGGAAACCCTAGCTTTAGATTTAGCACCACACATTAACACAGACGCTGACGTGATGGGACTCCGGCTTCATGGGAATCAAATATATGCAAATATCCCACACACACCTTACGTCCCTGTCCTAACTTGCCCCTCGCTCTTGTTTCGCCCCGTGAGGCAGACAGCCATGTTGCAGAGACGTTCTCTCCGGCTCTGAGGGTGCTGTCTGCCAGGTGCTTAAGCCTCCCTAATCAGCACCAACCCAACTGAACGCACTGTGATGACAGTAGGGAAGGGCTGGAGGCTCACTCTTCCTCTAAAAGCAACAGTCTTGCTACACCGACCGGACACATCCTGATCAAAGTGTGTGCACTACTGACTATTTTCACGCTCTTGGTTTTCAATGAATTAAATATCAACACCTCAGTTGAAAGAAAGGAAGGCCGAAGCATGGTGTGACAAGGAACGACAACAATCCATGTAACAGATACACCTGCATCCTCAGGCACGCAGGGTTACACTCTATTTCACCATCAGACTACACAATCTGTTAGCCAGCAGACCAGCATGCATCAGGTGTACCTCCAATAATAAACCCAGGGTGCACACAGATGCATTTGATGGCAAATATTTAGCAGGTGGCCACTTTGTTTTACTACAGTCATCCTCCTTGGAATCCAACAGATTTCTCCCATTATATTGCCATTTAAAAGGTCAAAGGTGAACAAATAACCAGTGCTAGCTTCATAGTGCTAAAGTTTCGCTCAAAAGGCCATAAGCAACACATAAAAATCCCATTAAAAACAGTGCAGGAGAATGTAAAATATTCAGGCCTGCTTGTGCCTGTTTAATGTAGGCATAGCGTTGCGTTGATACCAGAGAATAAAACAGGTTTATTAGTAGAACAACTCTGAGACACAAATTACTGGGTGTATTTAAGGTCACATATTGAGGTAATTGATAAGTGTTAGTTAGTAACGATTAAAGAAAAAATGTATTAGCTACTTTAGTGTATCACAAGCAACAAACTATTTTCAAACTATATCAGCTATTTTTGAGCCATGCTAGCGGTGTTAGCCTATTGCTTGATCCACCACTTTGGTCCAGACATTAATATCTCAACATCTATTGAACAAAATGCTACGAAATATGGAAACTCACATTTATATTCCCCAGAGGATAAATCCTAGTGACTTTGGGCAACCCCTGATTTTCCTCCTCTGGTGACAATGGTAAACACTAGCTGGCTTAGTAAGTTGATATCAGACAAGGCATGTGAGAATGCTAACTTTGCAGCAGTTTTTAATGTATAAAAAACATTGAAAATACATACAGCATTACAGAGCTGCATGCATGGCTAAAGGGCAGGTTGTGCTGATATAAACCGTGAGAGTCCCTCTTTTACATATGAGCAAGCTTATCACAGCTCCAGTCAGCGAATATCTCCAGTGAGAACAGTGTGTTCTTGAAAAGGAAAACATGTATGACCAACACTGTTACACCACCAAAGTTATCTGCCCCAACAATGAATTTCTACCCTTCACATGTGCCCCATTGCTTGAACACTGCCTCATTTGACTACAAAAGCTATGACTGATGACTCACAAAAGTTTCCAAGCGCATATTTGTCAGTCTCTCTGTCAACTTGATACAGTTGGTTGGCTAACAATGTTTTCTTTCGTTACAATAGCCTAGCAGTCGGTGCAGAGCCATAGTAACATATCTGCACATCTTGACAATGAAACAATGTTATGCCTTCATAAATAATAACTGATGCTTTTGGCAGTGCCGTTTCCTTTGGTAATACTGACACCAAACACAGGATTGACAAAGAATAAAAGCAACTTGATGAAATGAAACTGGAGCGCATTATTGAGTTGTGACCAGAGGGCAAACTGCCACTTTGTAAACTTCTCTTACCATTTGAGTGACCTAAATATGATCTCCTCTGACATTTGGGTGTGGTGACTTTTCACCTATTGCAATAAAATCCCCTTAAATCCCCAAAGAACCCTGTGATTGAAAACAAGCATTACTGCAGCTGTTTACTATACAGATAGTCAAGTCCTCATGTAGAGAAATTCCCACAACGTCAGCATTGGCTACATTCTCACGTAACACCTGAGCAGATGGATGCCCTTGTTGTGTCAGCTTAGTCTCAGATATTTTATATACAAAGGGAACTTAAAGTACAACATAAGTTAACTCTTATCCTCGCTCTAGTGTGACGTTTTTATTTAACAAAGCTCATGGCAGGATAACTAGTGCTTTTCATATAAAGTCCAAATAATATGTCTCAAAGGCATACACCTCCCTACTTGCTGTTTTCTCGGTCACACGCCAGCTTCCCTCAACCTGCTCTCCAGCCCTTCCTGTTATTGTGTCATCATCATAACACAGCTTCAATAACTACAATGACATGCATCTAGTGTTGTAAACAATATTAAAAGGTTCCACTCTTGAAAGCATTACATTATTTCAGCTAGTTGTGCTTTCTACAGTTACTGTTGTGTCAACATTTACATCATTTTGTGGGGATTTGTTTCCGATTCACTTGTCTTTAAAACACAAATATCAGTATATGATATTGACCACATTTTTTAACATGTTTGCGGGAGCCGATGGTAATCCAGTTGGAGCAGGATTAAGAACAATATTCCCACAAATGGCACTTCCCTGTTACTTCCTTGTTTGCACTTACTTCCCTAAATGGACAATGTAAAGCCATTTTTCCGTCAGTCTTTTACTTCTTCTACTTCCTGCCATGCCAAAGCTGAAAACTCTAGCTCTACTGATGTGTACCTATGCTGCACCGTTTTAACTATCATGGCTTTACAATGCATTAGAAACAGTCAGAAAATAAAGTAAAGCAACAGATACATGTAAGGCTTAATGTTCTTAAGTTAGTGTCTGTAACAAAATAATGAACAAACAAAGACGAATGAACTGGCTCATATGATCTGTCACCAACCACAAACACTAAGCACTCCTTGTTCTAACCTCCTAAAATAAACCTCAGGAATGTGAGGAATCTCTAAAGGAGTGTTCGGAGTAAACAGGTGACCTTCTGCATGTACCGTGGCAGGACTGTATGACCTCATCAGTCTTTCCATCACCTTATTTCCATTTACCCAAACCAGTGGCATTCCTCTTCAAACCAACTCTAAAGCAAAGACAGGAGTTGACCGGCCAGAGTTGCCTCAGAGAAGCCGGTCGTTTACTTTGACACAGGATCGAGAAACTGAAAGCCAACGGGGACATGAATCAATGTCACAAAGGTAAGCCGACAAATGGAAGCAAATGATCTTGCGAGGACAGATCATCTCAGAGCTTTGGCTCAGGATGAAACCTTGTCCAGGTAATCAGAGAAGACAATGCACAGCTAATGGGTTTACCACACTGAAAGGTCCCAGAGGCCGGAGTTTATCGCTCCAAAACCTGCTAATGCGCATTTCCCTCTTTAGGTCAAACTCCATGTTTACAAGAATGATTCCCACAAGAGCAAAGGTAAAGTAACCCCATACAAGTTTTGGATGCTCACCCTCAGGGAAGCTAAAGCAAACACAATGAGAGGTTAAGTTGTCCGATGTGTTAACAGCAGCTTACTTTGTCAGGGATTTCTCATATCATAACTAATTAAAGTTGGTCAACTTCCCAAAAACATACTATCCCAAAAGATTCCCATTTTGAGAGATCGATCCATTAAACAGTTAAATTACCTTTAGTTAAAAGAGAGATGTGTAAATGCGACTTCAACATTAACTTCCACAGTAGTTTGGGTTACACGTAAGCATTGAGAGATGGAAAATATCTGAGTAAGTTGCATTCTGGTAAAAAATAAATGAGGTTGATAAACGTCAGCATCCCTTGCTTTGTATTGATGTGTTAAAAAAACATTTAGGAAAGTTTGTTCATTTCGATGAATCTGCAGATACTGTATTTTCTAAATTAAATAATTTCTAAATTAACATAACATGGCTTGTTTCATTTGTTAATGAAATAGAAAAGCTTGCTCGTTTGATATGAGTTTGATACAAAGCCGATCATACTAGTCTCATTTGCACACCTCCATGTGACCCATGGTACCAGTGCCTCTGAACGAGGAGCAACAGAGGGAGAGGACGGGTCAGGAGAAACAGAACCTTCCTTGCTCACTGTAAACGGTCCTGGCATGGATTTTAATTAACTGGCACTGGGCCTGCCATACCAGGCATTTAGTGGGCAGGAGGCCCCACTGGCATCAATACAGATCATCATCAGGGGCTCAGCTGGAGGCATTCAATTTTCTTGGCAAGTGTGTTGCATTTGCAGCGTGTCCTGCTCCTGCAATAAACCTCCTCTGGATGCATTTTGGGAGTCGCTGAGTTCCTTCTTTAACCGGAGGAACGGTCTGGTGAGGGGTTTGAAGGCAGCACCAATGATCTGCATGCCACGCAAGACACATTGATTGATGAGGGCCCAACAGCAACATATGTTAATACCTGACACCTAAGTTCAAGTTAAACAGTTGATGTTTTCGGCTTTGTATTGATGTATTTCTGCAACCTTAAGGCTTTTACCTTAAGTCAATAGATTTAAAGAATATTCATTGCAGCTGCACTCACAACAATGATTAAAAGCTTCAGAAATCTACTTGTTTCAGTAATTCTTATAAAGGGAATATGTGGCAAAGTGAAGGAGAATAATTGTATAGCCTCTACCTGTTGAGGGAGGTAGCCTCTAAGCTGACCTTGGCAGAGGAGAAATACCTTATCTGTCTTCAGTTTACTTTCTCCGACAGAACTCTGAGCCTCACTCTGCTTGTTTAACTAACCAAAAGTAGCACAATTAAGTCCAAAGATTGCGAAATGCAGTCTACATACTCATGCTTCAGTCAATGCTGACGCTGTTGTCTATGCATTCACCACAACCACAGCTGTGACTAAAAACGTGTTTATACATATTCATCTTTCCAGCATAACTACAAGGATGGAGAAGAGGCAACAAAAAAAAAATCAGGCAGGGCCTCCTCGGTCTGTAAAGCAATTAGCAAAGACTGCACAAAAACAACCTGAACACTGTGTGCCCTTTTTCTGTTTTTTGATAATTCTACTCAGTAGGACATGGTGTTGCTGGATGATGTTGTTGTGTCACGTCTGACAGCATCAAGGTTTGACTAATGTGTGTAAAACTAAAGAAAGTACTTACAGGTGGGGGCGCGGGGTGGGGGTGGAGACTGTTTTCAGAGAAGAGAAAACAGGACTGGTTTAGTTTATTATGCTGACATACGAGTGCAAATGTGCAAGCTCCAACAAGAACCCAAAGCTCTGTGAAAAGTGTGTTGCTGCAATATCCATGGGAGCGTGTGAATAATAGCTTTTTGTTTGTGTTCGCTTTGTGTGTTTGTCGGGTTTTACTTGGGTTGTTCACTGTGTAGGTGAACGTGTGTGGCGGCAAAAAAGTTCAAACTAAATAAACCGTCCACCTCCAAGTATATCCGGTGGGGCCACCAGAGTGCAACACTTAACCCTTCACATAACCTGAAGACCAGGTAAGTTAAGTGATGGTATCACAGAACAGGACAGACAAAGCGAGCTGCAGGTCAGAAGGCAAGTGGATCAACACACATGCCTGGGAGCCAAGGGGCAGCATATTCAACTGGCCAAACTGCTCTATATAGAAATGTGTTATTAAGAGCTCCCCGTTAGCCAAATAGCAACAAATTACTAAGTAATAATGTGTTGTTACAAGCAAGTATTCTTTAGATAAGATTGGCAAACGTTTTTTAGGACATTTCCTTCCTTGCAGGCACCTATTGGTTTATCTCATGTCAGTGCAAAATGTTAATCAGCTGTGAGAGAGGGAATTCAACACAGTTTAATAATTGTAGCTTGTTTTGTTTTTTGTTTGTGTATGTGTCAAGGTGCCAGAGACTCTATTGTGATGCATTCAAGGATGCCCGTGGCGCCAACCATATCTAAACAATTCCAATCTTGTGAAAATAAAATAAGTGGAGGACAGTAATCTATCAATATGTAATTAATGGCAACATCATTACATATTGGAAGTGGCTCTTACCATGATTGTTACCTTGATGATGAGCCTGTCTTCCTGACTTATATCCTCCCTTGTGTCCACCCTGATGCCCAGCAGTAGGGTGCCCGTCCAAAGCCAAGTCAAGTGCAGGACCCAGACCCAAGCTATGCCCCTTAAAACCGGGATCCTTATTCTTCTTACCCTTCAGCCAGACCAGAGCTCGGCCCAGGGAGTGACTGCGCTTCTTCCGACCCCTTTTGCTGTGCTTCTCTTGGGCAAAAATATCAACCACATCCTGGGGAAGGAGTTCCCCGAACCCCAGCGAGTCACGGTTTGACATACCTCCTCACACTGGAGCTAAGCCCTGAAAAAAGAGAAAAAGGGAGAAAGGTCATTATCATCATAATCATCAAAACCCTACGTTTTCTTGCACAGGGGGAGAAAATAATAAAAAAGTATCACACTGGATGTCTTGATTGATTTGTAACGTGTGTGGCAAAACTAAAAATGAAACTAAATCTTGAGTTATTTCTCAAAGTTACCAGATCAGTTGATAGCAGGTTATGAAAACCAACCTTGTTGTTCTGTTCAAGAAAATCAAAACAACTGATATTTTTGATTTAGCTGCTGCAAAGAAACATATTTTAACTCAAGAAGCAACAAATTCAGTGCTTTTACAACAATTACGGTATCTGATTATTACTGTCTGCCAGGTATGATTGCATATCAAAAAAGTTGATTATACACAAGCATTCCCGCAAATGATGTAGCAGTATGTTGGTGCTTCCTCTAAACAACAGTACCTATGTTCAAAATGATGGATGATAGAGCACCTCTGCCAAACAGGTTTCAGGTCAAGTCTTTTCATCTTGAAGAAAAGTAATTTTTTAAAATCAAGTTAAAATATGCTTTGGAAAATGCTCGTCATTGTCTAAATCTGATTAATCCAGTCATAAATAAATACAGCTTCCATAGTTTTGAAGTTGTATGTTTGTTTGAGTATGTATCCATCTGTTTGTGTCCGTGGGCACTTCTCATTCAACTCATATACTGAGCCTATACAGACCCCCCCCCCCCCCCCTCCACACGCGCCACCCCTCCACTGTCTCTAAACCAAACTTCACAGATCTGCAAAGAAAGCTCTGGCACCGCTCCCTTCATTCCATAACATGGAGTCATAATTCACAAAGCCGCACCCGTGAGGCTCCTGCACTTTTACACACAGGCACAACAGCAAACTAGGAAGAGCCAGCGAATAGAAAAATAAACATTCACCAATGTGCATCGAGTTGTTTTTAGCAAGCAGTGCCCATGTTACTTGTTATGTTTCATTGTGTTCCATAATCTATTTTTCTGCGTAGCATGAGCTCATCGCCTCCTCCACCCCTTCACCTCGCTGAACTATTCTACTTGGAGGCAGCTTACTCTGGGCTTCTTCCAGCTGCTTGCTTTATTGGATACTTATCTCTAAAATCACAGACTAAAAGCAGGAGCAAGCTCTTAAGATGACAGGAGTCACAGCTTGTAAATAAGCACACAAAGGCTGGAGGAAAGTAGGAGAGGACTCAGAGTGAGAGAATCGTGAATCCCTGTTTGATTTGATGTCAAGAAAGTTCATGAAACTTTCTGAGCTGAGAAACACAACCAAACATCTTTTACTTGATGTACTTAAATGCTCCTAACAAGACATGAAGCTAAACCACAGAAACCTATGTCATGTTCTCTGAGGTTTACAAATTTGACTTTTCCAAACTGCTTCTCATCATCAAAGACCGCTGTAATGCCGAGGGGTTAGACGTGATGAGGGGTTAAGGGGCTCTGGTTTGGATGCATTATTTTTAAAAGTGTCTTACATACTCAACATTGGTAATAAATTAAACTTTTTATCAGTCAAATCTTTCTTTATGAAGGCAATTTTGATTGCAGGACTGTTGTGTTGTACTCCTTTAGTTTGGTAAGCTGTTGCTACCTGATAAACTGGCAACTGAGTAACGTTTCCATATTGGTCCTTACTGTGTGCTCATAATGGAAAAGAATCTAAAGCCTTATGAGCTGTTCTTTAAGGCTGGACTAAGGCAAAGTGATGCTAAATGCTAATGTCAGCATGCTAGCATTTTACAATACATTCCAATGCTAATATGCTAATGTTTAGCAGGTAGGGAGAGTGGGGTAATTTGTGCCAAGGGGCAAGTAGTGCCACCCCTGTTATCTAGAAAACCATAGAAGAAGTTGGTCATGTGACCACATATTTTTGAAGAGGCATCTATTTCAATCATCCTGCAAAGAAGAGAGACACATGGCTTGAGAGGTAAGCACATTTAAGTTCAAAAAAAAAAATGTTGCCCTCCAAAGTAAAATTTCTATGATCAAGGTTTTTTGATTGCTGTGTTTGAACAATTTAGAGAACTTTGAAAACAGTTCACACATGTTTTAGTGCTTTAGTAAGCTACACCATGAGTCTATACAGTTAGCATGATGCTAGCTCAAAACAGCTGGGGGATGCATTTTTTTCAAAATGGTGGGCTTGGGGTAATTTGTGCCAAAGGGCCTGGGGTGGCACAACTTACCCAAACTTATGATTATTTACTATATATTACTTTATTGTATTTTATTGTTATTGTACATTGTATTCTTACATTTGATCACTAAAACTATGTGACATTCTTAATTTTAGACCAAAATCCATCAGCCACGCAAATACAAAAGGAAGACAGACAGGGTTTCAACTCCTCTTGAGGAGTTGGAAAGAGCAGTGAAAGAGGTGCAACAGGGGAAGACCATACGTCTTCTTCCCTTGCCAAAAGCCACATAAAGAAAAAAAAATTGAAAGAAAGTGAAAACAAGAATCGTGACCGACACACCTGAGAAGATGGAGTTGGAGAAGGCTCACAAAGAAAAAGAAGATAAAAAGGCTGAACAGGAAAAGAAAAAGAATGAAAGAGAGAAGAAAAGGGCTCTGAAAGCTGCAAATCAAACCAAAACCAAGAAAAAAACAGCTGTGTACAGTAGCTCAGAAGAAAGCTCCACCACCAATGATGAGGCAGAAGATGGCCTGGAGAAGACACAAAGCAGAGAAAAGGAACGGGCTGAAAAGAAGAAAAGGAGTGGAAATAAGAAGGGGGCTCTGAAAGGGTCAAAACCAACCAAGCCCAAAAAGAAAGTGCTCTCCAGTAGCTCAGAAGAGAGTGACTTTCCGATTCCACTTAGCGATGCCACTCATTATGAGAGTTCAGATGTCCAGAGTGATGATGATGATGGTGACAAGGATCTGTCTGCTGGTGACTTTGTCATTGTGAAGTTTGCAGGTAAAAAATCCAAATCCTATAACTATGTTGGATTGGTGGAGAATGTTGAAGGTTACGAGATCAGTGCAAAGCTTCTGAAGCAAAGTTGTAAGAGGTCTGTTGATGGAAACCCCATCTTCACATTTAGAGAGAATGATGAAGGAGTCATCCCTAGAGGTGATGTGCTCAAGAAACTACCCACACCACAAAAACTTGGTGGTACAGCCAGAAGGGAGTATAAGTTCACATTCCCCTGCAGCATTGACAAGTGGGATGTTCAGTAGTAGGCCGAATCTGTGAAGAGATTCAGATGCAGATGATTTGCAGATGATTAGGTGCTCATTTTGGAATTTTAATTTTGTTCTGAGTATGTGTTCATGTGGCGCTAGGCCTTGTTTAAGCAAATTGGCCACACCACAAAACTTGGTGGTACAGCCAGAAGGGAACAGAAGTTCATATTTCCCTGCAGCATTGGACAAGTAGGATGTTAGGTGTTCATAGGCCTTGTTATAGAAAAGTGGCCTTTGATGTTGTTACAACTTTAAATAAACATTAAATAAATAATTTTGTATTGAATTTGTCTTGCTTTTATATAGCATTATTGTTTGTGAGATTAAAATGATCTGTTTTACTTCAATTATCAATGGCACAATTTACCCCAGTGTATTGTCTCTAATGGCACAACTTACCCCGCACCGGGGGCAAGTTGTGCCACAAAACCACTTTTTTTTCTAAAGCTATATTTCTCAAACAGTTTATTTAAGATCTGAAGTGATTGTTCCCAGGGATGCACAACATCCTAAACTATATGTACATATTTTAGTTGGAGTTATTACTGTAATCCCCTTGCTTTAAAGGCACTTTAAGTAAAAATTGGCACTACTTACCCCACTCTCCCTATTATCAAAGATGCTGTATAGATATTTAACTTTGATCTGATACATAAGATATTTAAGCAGTAGATAGTTAAGCAGTAGTGTTAAACTCCACGTCTCAAAGATACAGACAATGTACTCTAATTTTTTACTGTCCTGTTATAATGTGTAATTTTGGACGTTAGCATGCTAACATTTGCCAAATAGTAATATATAAAAAGCTGAAAGGTATTTGGAATTGGATCAGTAATCCGAATTATTAGACAAACTACAATTTGAGATTTTGTGTTAGAGGAAGAGTTAAGAGTTACAAAGATGATTTGACTATTGATTAGACGCTGACAGAAAACTAATCCGCAACTGATTGGATAATCAGTTAATCGTTTAAGAAAACTTTTATGTAAAAATTCTGGAAAACATGACATTACCTTAAGAAACTGGGATGGACTTTTTTTCTCTGACAAATTGTCGCCAAACAAATCATAAATCAATCTAGAAAAATTGAAAATTGGCAAAGTAAAGTTATATCTGGTTCTACTTTTTCTAGAGGAAGAGGTAGGCAGCCTCATATGGGAGGCTTAACATGGGGACTTGAAGCACTAGAATGCTTCTCTAAACTCTATACATATGTGGGTGTTTTTTAAGTCATTCGTTATCTTAATGTTGCCCAACTGAACTTGTTATCCACTGCTGCACATCTGATAGAGTCTACAGTGTGTTCGGAGCAGCGAGGAGGAGTAAGTTCTAGAGAAAGGCCAATAACAAGAAAGCATCCATCTTCTCCGAAGCAAAGTACCAGGCCTCTCCCTGCACTAAGCCCCGTGTTTCTCCTGCTCCAAATTACAGTCATTTGGGCATGACTAAGATCTGTGCATCTGTATTGGCTACAGTTGCCAATAATCAGACGCGTTTCTGGGGAGGAGAGGGGCCGCTTCATTCATTTATAGCCTACAGGCTGCTCCGAGTGCAATAACTCCTCGTATTACTTCAATCACAGAGGGACCAGAGAAGTGCTAAGAACTCTGGGACATGGCGGAGAAGGACCACCCAGCAGACTGTCTGCGCAGTCCGGTCACAAGGAGCTGACTCATGCCTCCATTGCTGTGGTTACACATAAAAACCTGCAATTTCAGCCTAACAAACAAATGTAATGAGGTGACGTATACGCTGTACTTCCAAATCATCACTGTTTGTTTGATGACGTCTTTTACATTTTGTAACTTTTTTTTTTAACTAATACTATTTTACTAAAGGAAAATCCCTTGGGTTTATCTAGGTAAAAGGTACCAGTCACAATCCTCTCTGTTAGATTCAAAATCTTTCTTCACGGTAATGCTCAAACGCTGACATCCGTATTACCGAGTTGCTTCATTGTCCAAGCAGTTATCTAGCCACAAACCCCAATTCATAAAAGCTGATACGCAAACTAAACGCAGAAAAAAGGATTTGTTATTCGAGGATTTGTAGCAAAAGCATGGTAAAAACCTCCAACATCAATAACCACACTGCACCACGTAAGAGTGTATCATATTACTGAAGAGATCATGATCAAGTCATATGCCTTAAGCTGATTGACAAACAAAAAGGTTGTATGTGCTCTCTTTCTCTCCATGTCTCTCGGTCTCTCTTCTCTCTCACACACTAAACCTGCGGTTATGGTTTCCCAGCCCAGCCTCAGTCCTGCCGGAACAGGCATGTGTTCCAACATGCTGTTTACTTATTCTTTACAAAAGACACCAGGCTTCACATTGGACAGGAGATACCGCTCAAACACAGCAAACCTCAACGCAGTGTGTCAATACCTGCAGCACTGACTGATTATCTGACATTGACAGCAGTGTGTACACATCAGCATTTAGTAGACTGGAGCTGATAATAGTTGATACGCAGTCATCATGAAATAGACTGCGAAATCTGGAGGTATTGATTCTGTACTTGTCTTGGAGAAGAGCTCGAGGACACGAATTCCTGAGTGGGTCATCTTTAAATGTATACACAGGAGGGTCAATATACTTAAAGCGAAGCAAAGCAGTGACACCTGTCTTGCCTGAAGCAAAGAACAGTGGCAAGGATTACTGTGCAGATCCAGTCTCAAATCCATAGATATGCCAAAGATCACATGGCTCTACTGTTCCTTCCTTTGACAAACACTTGTTGAAAAAGAATGAGGGAAAGCCAGTTCTTGTAAGATGTTTAAAATCTACTTTAGGTGACTTAAGCATGAACACACCCTCGACAGATCCATGTCTCAAAAGTACGTTGTTTAGATTTGTTGTGCACATATAAAGTTAGTTGACTAATGGTTCCTTTGGTCTTAGTCAAACAGGACTTCATTAGTGGTTTAGACTTTTTTTTAAATGCAGGATGACTTTCTCCAAAAATATAGAGAACATCTTTGGTAAACACAAGATTTAAAGTGGTGCTTTTACATGTTCTTTTCATATGATTTGTAGTCAACTAAGACTTTTTTGTGCAAAGACAGACCTATTGACTATGATTGTGAACATTTTTCTGACACCCACTGCGTTGTTCAATGTGACAGCCATGTGGTAAAGAATAATATTAAGATACAGATTTAAGTCAGACTGCAAAAAAAGAAAACACAGTGACTCTAGCAAATATGAACAATGAGAATTTCATGGGCAGTGGCGGGGCAGGGTCTCCAGGAACTGTAACTCTTGTCTGCAGTGAGTCACACAGGGAAACTGACGGAGCAGACTTCAATGCCTCATGGGGATAAGCCAAGCCAAGAGGGAGTGGCGGTGATACAGGCAGCCACCTTTGTTTGAATTAGGACCCGCTCAGTTTAACCAGGAGGCCATTCACATCTACACTCGAGCTGCAGGGTTTCACATGGTATGATCCAGCAGTCAGAGAGTGAGGTTAAGGTCGGGCTGAATGTGGTTAGTCTCCCAAAGGTGGAAATAACAGATAACCAAGGTTCAGATTCTCCTTTTGAAGGATGTTTTGGATCTGTTCCAGATTTCCTGCTGAAAATAACAAGTAAAGACTCAACAGTAACAGCCAGTTTGGAAAATAATAGTTTTCAAACAAGAATTAAAATGGCTTTGAAACTCAATTGTAAGTGTTGGGCAGTGTATAAACTAGTGTTAGTGTGCGGCACCTGCAGGCATCAATGAGGGCGTTGGCTATGCTCTGTAGGCATCATTACACAAAGAAGAGCAGACTTGAGCAACCGTGTCTGGGCTACAGCTCTGCACACTGAAATACACTGTGATGGATGGGAAACAAACTGGAAATACTCAACTCACTATCTTAAAGGAGTTTGGACATTTTGAAGAGCATTGGGGGAGTGATCATGCAACATGGGACAATTCCCATCTTAAAAGGGAAATAGAGAGGATTACAAGAATCAGAACTAATGAGCCCTAATACCTCATGAAAATGTCATTATAACTGCGGGGTTTAAGCGTAGCCTCAAGTTTCCTACAGTTTGGTTCCATACCAGCGTATCAGCATAAACACGTATTGGTGGTGAAGGACTTGGACAGGAACACAAGCCCTTACTGACATTATATGGTCCCTTCGTTTGCTGCAGAACGGATACAGTTTCATAAAAAGACCATGTTGGTAATGACAGTGATACAAATAAATAACGCAGATAAACAACGCAGTAAGACAATAATGACAGAAAATAAACCAAAAACTCTATGTAACTGAACTCACTGAGGTTATGGACACTGTGTGTGTGAGTTCATGTGTGTGTGTGTTAACGCAAGTTGCCGCTCTGCAGGGCCGCTGTAGCCATGCAGCAGCTTGTCTGGTAAGAGCAGCAGATGCATTCCTGAGAGATTGATAATTGCCGACTGAGGAACTCTTCACTCCAAATCTGCTTTCACCCCCCTGCTTTACCTCCTCTTCCTCCCTCGTTCTCCCGTCTCCCTTTCACACCCCCCTTCCCTCCCTGCCACACATCCCTCTTGCAGTACAGTGGCCTGGGAGACTGAGCCATGAAAGAAAAAAGGGTAATTGCTGGCGCATGAAAGTCATTTCGAGATAAGATTATAACATGGGGCTGTGTGCACTGGCCAAGATAATCGTTTACTGTGTATTTCCTTATAGAGGTTAGTGACTAATACACAGATTGCAGAGAAAATGTGTGCATCAAAGTATAAAATAAACCTTAAGACACAGTTTCCTGAGAGTTTTGGTTATTTTTCCAAAATGTATCAATTTAGGATTACAACTAACAATCATTAAATAATCAATCTGATAATATCTTTATTGATTAATGACTTTGTTGATGTCATAAAATATTGAAAGAGTGTCCGTTATAATTCCCCCATGTGTGTTCTATGTGTCATTTAGTCCAAAAACTGAGATTTGTGTGTTTTTTTGCATTTATCTATACAAATTCACATATGAAAACAACTGCTGATTCATTTCCTTTGAAGTAATCAATAGATCGACAAATCAATTCAGTGCCAATATTTGAGCTGCTGCTGATAAACTGTGGATTTCTACAATGCATAAGAAGTACACCTCCCTGGTAATTAATACAGATTTACAAACACATTTTACTGTTGCTTTTAGTAAATATGTATATATATATATATAATACAATCTTGTAGGAATGTAAAGTAAAATGTGCTCAGTTTGTACAGAACAATAAAGCAATATAACTTCTCTCTGGCGCTATAAGAGACAGTGGCAGAGCTATTTAGTGTTTTGTTTGTTTTGCTTCCAGGGGTTGCCAGGGGTCTGAGTCTGGACTGCAGCCTGTGTGGAGCTTCAGACCCCTGATCTGTCAGTCAGGGGTGAAAAAAGAGAAAGTGTTAAGCAGCGCTGACCAGCCCGCAGCGAAGGCAAACACAGCTGGACACTGGTCACCGACAAAATAAAAACTCTGCCCTTTCAACCACTGAGCTGCCACTGGGTGAACACAGTACAGAAGCCTACTTGGCACTATGTACCGTTTAAAGAAAGCACTTTCTGGTGACTTCCTTTTCCTTTTCCCTCCCTCATCTTTCATCCCCTTCTCTACCTCAAACTTTTCTCTGACTCTCAGGTATCTCCCGGGCTCTGCTGTACCTCCAATGCTTACATAACACACCTGTAATCTCCATGGGTACAAGCCCTGGCATGGCAGGCTGGCGGAGAAGGAGCACCGGTACGAGACACACCCTTTCTAAACAAATGGCTAAGTCTCAGCCTCACCTAGCAGAGGGTACAAGAGGTTAAAGTGAAGCCATGGAGATAGAAAAAACAAAGTTAATCAACCATTGTTTGCTTGAAGTGCTGCAGAGTTTTTAGAAAAGTTTGGATATGGAGCTCTTGGTCCAAAGTGCAGGGGAGGAGGTGGACAAACAGAGACGAGGAGACCCCCTAATGACAGACTTGGACATGTTATCTCTGTCAGGTTAATCAACAAGCAGTGGATCAATGGAAGAGCACAGACTGTCATTGACTGCTGTCACACATTAAAGCGTCAGAGCTCCATGCTGCAGTCAAACAGTCATTTGCTGCTGGGTCAGTGAAGGGAAATAACACAATAGTGTGCATTGTCATAAGCTGAGAGAAGCATACAGGTCTTAAATTACCTCTCACTGAGGATCCCTTAAGGCCAAGTTAAGCAAATCTCCCACACCTAGTTTTTCATGCATGCCTATACAAAACCTGGATCTCTTGCCATCCATTTGTGCCTCACTTTGATTACACTGTAGAACTTTTGTTTTCACATGTTGGGGCTATTTTCTTTATTTAAAAGCCTCTTCTTAAATGTTTTACAAGGGTTAGGGTTTATTTTTGTTGTTTGCAAAACAACTCACTGGACAACATGATGCAACAGCTTCACTTAAAAAAACATCCTCAAAGTTGATTCAGTCGAGCCTGGTGTTAATTCAATGCGATTTTTTTACTTATTTTTCAAGCATTAAACTCTATTTCTTATATATTTACCACGTCACGCATAGTTTGGGATGCTTTATAAGAAGGAAGGAAAATACATAAGTGCTACGAATGACTCTACTTTTTATTTAAACAGCAACAAAGTAAAAAACTGTTCCTACCTTGATGTACTTGTATGGTCCAGAAGGATTGATTCACCCTCTCTCCATTGGAAGCGTCTCCCTGCTGTCTCCAACTCTAAACTTTCACCGTCCGAAGGGAAACTTCAGGTGAACCATTTCCGTGAAAACGCACTTCAGGAAGCGACTGGAGTCTGGAAGTGTTTCTGCTGGCAGCTACAGGTCCGTGTGTTGCTGGGTGTCAGGCTGAAGTGACTTCTCCCGCTGTCAGTGCCGTGTGAGGACGCTCCGGTGAACCGCAGAGAGGGAAGTGGAGAGAAGGTTCCAGGACCTGCAGCTCCCACCTGAAGGAGGCTGGGCGGCCAGGTGAGCGCGAGGGGCTGCGGTCAGAGCCGCGAGGACATCTAGTGGCGAGACAGAGGAAAAACAGGTCCCAGAGCAAGGGGGAGGAGAGGGTTGTTACCCTATGGTTGTTACACACTGAGTTTAGAATTCCAACTTTTATAAATTAGAAAAAAAAGACATGTTTTCAGCAGAGAATTACCCCAGAGTGTAGGAATACTCTGTTACAAGTAAAAGTCCTACATTCAAAAGGTTACTCAAGTAAAAGTACAAAAGTGTTGGCATGAAATATACTTAGGTACCAAAATAAAAAAAATAAAAAAATAAAAAATTACTCATTATGCAAATTCTGTGTCAGAATAATATATTATGTTTTGATTATATTTATTGATGCATTAATGTGTTATCAAAGCTGGTAAAGGTGCAGCAAGTTTTAATGACTTATATATATATACTGCAGGGTAGCTTGTGAATTTACTCGAGGTGTAACTTAAGTATGATTTAAGTGTTGATTATATTTCACACCATTAATCAAAATCTGTAAAGTAACTAAAGGTATTAAATGAATGTAGTGGAGGAAAAGTACAAAGTAGCATAACATTGAAATACTCAAGTACAAGTATCTCCAAATTGTACTTAAGTACAGTGAGTAAATGTACTTGGATACTTTCCACCTCTGTTTTTCAATGAGTAAGCATATATGAATGAGTTGCATTTTGCACATGTTATTGAGACTGTTAAATGATAAATATAACATATCACATTATTTTAATACGGTTTTTACTTTTTTTATACATTATTTTCATTTGTTTTCATTGATGCAAAACAACAAATCAGCGTAAAACCACATAAAATACATACCAAACGTTGCTAAATTATGACACATATTTAATAAGAGAAGTCTGTTTTAGCTTTGTGAAACTGCACCTTTCACACAATGAGAAGGTATTAGAAACATGTCCACCATAAATCAACATGTATATTTAAAAATAATAATAATCACCACTTTTGGAGATGCATGCTGTTATTGGTATTTATTGAAATGGGTGACAGTGCTGTTGCCATGGGCATTCATCTAATTAGACATATATTATTTCTAACAATCCTGTTAAGATACTCTTTTTACAGGATTGTCTATGTTTCTTTATTTTACATATGAGGAACTTGTCAGACAGCATGCAAAGCACTAAAAAACAAATACTGTATATAAATCATGCAAAATGTATGAGCAGCTGAGCTCGATACTGAAGGAAGCTATTAAAAGATTAGGCCAGCTAATGTTGTCACTTTTGCCAGTGCAGTAGTCTGAATCAAAAAGACATTCATCAACAACTGAAGTATATGAAATATAAATGTTTGTTGGATATATGTTGTGTGATATACTTTCAGAAGTTTCTCCAATTGTATTTGTAATTCAGAATCTAAAAGGAACACCCATTGCTTTGCCCCAAATGAGACTTACCCAAATATTTCCCACATGGTGTCCTGTAGTATTTAGACATTTGAATGTGGCTGTTGGTAATTCTGTTGCTTATTAACAGTAAAATGTATGTACATATTGCATAATATCTTGGAACCTCATGTTTCGTTCATATATCTTTAAACATTTAATATACTTTTGGGGATAGATTTGATTACAAAGCTACATTCTTCAAATGCAATGCGGGATGCTTTCTCTTTAAGAAAAGCTTAATATGGAAGTAATCAACAATAATAATCTGTCAACCAATGATGTAAATAGAGTGTTGTTCCTTTCACTTATTCATTCATTGTCTAATTTCACAGACTTGTATGGAATGCGACAATACATTTGTGGAAAGTTGTTGCTCAAACACTTTTCAGTCGTCATGTCACCACCATCTTAGAGACACATAAAAACAGCTGTATAAATATAACTCTCTCCGGCTCCCAGGCTGGTCCGGGCATGTGTTAGCTGATGAATCCAGAGCATGTAGGCCGGGCCGCCTCAGCGCTGACACAGTTTGTGATCCCCTGTGGGGGTATGACAGAGTCTTAGATAGAGTTTCCCCTGTGCCTCCAGTGTTATTAATACACATAAAGTGTGCCTCTGTTTTGCAAGAGACAGACACAGTGAAGAGCTGCACTAAAAGAAAAGTGTTTTCACAGCTGTCCGGACTGTCATCTCCAAATAAAGTAAGTAGAAATATAAATTAATATGAATTATTGCCGAACGGTAGAAGGTATAGGTTAAGACAATGAAGGCATTTAATGTAAGGCTCCCTTGATTGTTCGATCATGATTAAATTAACATGTAATTATGCAAAATAGCCTCAAAGGAATTAGAGGGGATTTCAAAACAAAAATCTAATCAATTAGTGTGGTGGGTTATTTGATTAACGGTCATTCAGTCCTTCTCCTTTCTTCAGCTTATCTCTTGGATGGCCATGGACCAGCAAACATCAACAGAAAATGGGGAAAACATGTCATCCTACGAGGACTCACACACAGGGCTTGGAGGGGATGAGATTTACAGCCATGCTGACTCTGAAACGGAGACGGTCATGGAGGACTTGGGGCACCTTTTCGACCACTGCATCCAGCAAGTGTCCCACATGGAGGTGCAGCGGAACGAGCTGATACAGGAGCTGCTCCGGCTGCAGGAGCCCATGCTGCGAGTGGTGGGGCATTTGAGAGAGAAGCTGGTGGAGACGCAGAGGATGCTCACCCTGGCTCAGCTGGATTATGTGGCTGTTTATGAGGAGGTGACGGAGGTGAAGAGGAACCTTTTTGTCACAGCCAGAGACTGCATCCAGAGCCAGGTGACGCTGGCTGAACAACAGTACCAGGTGGCTCAGTCTGCTGTAACACAGGTAGGAACAAAGGGAGGATGCAGGTTATTGCAGATACTTGAGGTCTGCTCTTTTTTTATTTTAGATCATTAAACAGTTTTCTTTAGATTATTTGAGTGATCCTTTTTATTTGTTTTAACTTTTAATGGAACACAAACATGAGGTGTCTTTTATTTTAGATTACAAATAAACAAAAAGGCATTTCAGTGAAATACACATTTTACACCAATCCCAAATGTCCTCAAATTAAATCCTAAAGCTTCATCTTTCCATAACAAAGATTTTATAAATAAAATAATACCAATTCTCTCTGGCCTCAGTCATATCCTTGTACTTTTCTAGCATCTACTCTCAGTGTTTGAAATACGTTTTAATGTTTGTGGGGGTTGAAGTAGAATCACTATAAAAACTACTTTCAGTCCCAAATATAGTCAAGAGGTGTTCTATTTTAAATATGTTATCCACTTTATGAATTGTGGACAAGTGGCTGATTAACACTAAAACCACCACTAAGTTACTATGTGCAACAACTATGACTCCAATTCATCCATAGGACGAGCTCAAGGCCCACATCCAGAGTCTGACCCAGGAGTTGTCCCAGCTGCAGGAGGCCCAGCAGAACCAGCTGAACACCCTGAGGGACCAGGCCTCCAGGCCCCGCAGGCCCAGGGCCATGAGCGACGCCAGCCAGTGCCGGCAGGCTTCTGTCCGGCTGCAGCGGCGGCTCAGCGGCAGCATGAGGACGCTGGAGAGCTGGTACGAGCCGCGGCTCACAGCCCTGCTCAAGAGAAGGCAGTTTGGGGAGGAAGCCTTGAGAAGGAGCAGGGAGCAGGCTACGGATCTGAGGGCCAGCCTGGGGCCCCTGAGAGACGACATACAGAGACTGGAGATGCAGAGAGCCGGTCTGATGCAGAGGGTCACTCTGATGGAGCAGGATAGGGAGGAGAGTGTCACACAACACAAGGTACTCAAGTAAGGTGGGATTTAAATGTATGAAGGATGCTTGGTAGAAGTAAACAAACAGAGGATTCTCCATGTTGCAGGAGACTGTGGAGAAACTACAAGAGACTCTGAGAGAACTACAAATGGAGGTTGAGGTTCAAAGAAAATCTAAGAAAAATGTGGAGGATCATAATGATGGCCTTTCAAAAGAACTGATATTCCTGAGGTATGTTTACTATAAGCTTTTCACTGATTTATTTACGTTGAATTGTGAGTATTGACATTTTTAAAACGACTGACAAATGCTTTGTTTTACAGAGGGTGTGATGAACCCAATGAAATTACTGCAAAGGAGGCTCCCTAAATTCCTTTTTCCAGGAGATATTCTTAAAATGATTGTGTACACCATTCCACACTACAATATAGCATTTTATTTAATATGAAATATATATAAATAACTATTATGCAGCATAATTCCACCTTGGAATCCTATATTTGTTTCTACAGACTTAGAATTACCTACCCACCATCTGGCATAGTGTACCAAGAAACAAAGCAAACTGATTTAATGTAAATATTTTATTATGAATATACTTAAGTACACAAGAGATCAGATGCAACACAGAAAAATAAAGAAATAACAAACAAGTTACACACACACAATCTAAAAATGTATTCTATGTATACCAAGCTAAAACCTATAGTATGTACAATTGTAATTAACAATGGATCTTCGTAGAATCTTTTTTCAGCACAACGAATCCGGATGAAAGAAAGGAAACCATCGAAAAGCAAGCCTGAATGTTGAACACAGGTGTGATGGTGTCATCGCGAGCCAAAAGTGAAGCACCGGGATATTGAAAAACCAAAAAATATCTGACAAATACAGACTTACTTTACGTACCTCAAGAAGAGATGACAATGCACTTTAAACATTTTTCAAAAACACAGCTCCCAAGAAAAAGGATTTTGAGAAAAATGCATATGCACCCAGCACCGGAAAATAGATGCACAAAGCAGGTGAAATGAAGAGGTGTGGAGAGAATGGACTTCTGGGTCCTCATCGTCGTAGATATTTTCAGCCTGTCGAAGAAAGTGTATTCACTGTAACTGGTATTCAATGTTAATAAATTCCCTTCAGAATAATATCCATGCTGTTTCTGATATTTACTGGTCTTTATTAACCCACATCTGTTGATTTACTTCGCCCAAGCTCTTACCATTTGCCAGACTTGCATGATGTTGTCCTCTGATACAGAGCAGATGACCCACGGCTCGTTGGGGTTCCAAGAGAAGTCTGAGATCTTCGCCGTGTGTCCGCCGTGGATGAACTAAAGAGAAACAGAGCAGCATGGGTCAATACTGCATTCTTATCCTCTTAAAAACACATGCAGTAGTTGTTTTTGTCAGTACTGACCAGCAGTTCAGGGGGGCCGTCCTCAGCGTCCTCTGGTGACTGCTCCTCTCCGATCTTACTGAGGTCCCACACATTGAGCCTCCTGTCGGTGCCGCTGGAGGCCAGGATGGTTTCGTTATGAGGAGACCACTGAACCTGTTGGGTAGAGGTGGGACACGTGTTACATTTCTGATACAAAAAAACGAACACTAAGAAAAATCCCCAATCAACAAGTTTTAAACTGATTTGTGTCCACAATGTAACCCTCCAAGGTCAATGCTTAACCTTGACCCAAGATTCTTACAAATCTAAAGATTGACCTTAAACTGGTCAAACAGTATTCCTGTTATAATGGCTTCTCTGACTCAAATCAGATGGAAAACAGCTATAGCTTGTTGGATGTCATATGGTCAGATGCAGAAGTGGGACGGAAAGCCAGATATTGCAGCCACATTCCAAAATGGTTAATGATTGTAGAGATATCTGCCCTCTCTCAAATATAATGGAACTAGGTAGGAATTTGGCTTATTTATGTGCTTTGAGCACCACAAAGACGCATTCAAGCTTTATAATATTCAAGGGAAGACAGACATCTCTACAGCCACGTCTTTCTTATAGTGAATGTACCACACATTTTTTTAGATTGAAACATAACTCAGAATGTACAACAAACTATTTCAGATGAATTTACATAAACGCATGTTCACTTCTTACCTGGAAGATCTCGTCCTTGTGAGACTCAAACGAGTGCAGCTTCAGCTTCAAGTTCCTCAGGTCCCACAGCGCCACGGTCTAAAAACACAAGAACTGAGTTTGAAACGATTTAACTCATACTAAATGAGGACAGATCCTTTTTCACTGAACAGAAACATACTATGAAACAGCTCTACAGAGAAAGATGTGGACCCACCTTATCTGCAGAGCCAGAGGCCAGGATGAACTCGCTGTACGGGTTGAAGGATAAGCAGTTGACCTCAGCAGTGTGGGCATCTACTGCATGGCTGGGCTTGGAGGTGTTGTTGGACCGTGTGTCCCAGCTGTGCAAAAACAGAAACAAATATATAGTAACCATTTTTTCCCCAAGCCATCACAGTAGTTAATGGATTTTGTTACCAACTAAGGGCTGCTCACATCATGAGTTTCATGTCATCGGCCACAGATCCAAAGAGAGACTCGTGCAGCAGGTGCCAGGAAACATCCTCCACCACGGCCGTGTGGCCTGTGAAGATGGTCTTGGCATCCACTACCTTTCCCTCTTTGGGCACTGTGCTGATGTCCCAAAGGCAGATTGTCTGTAAGAGAGAGCAAATATGATTGACAAAATGATTTTGAAAGAAGGACAGTATGTGGGCTGACACAACAGAAAGACCAGTTAGGTGAAACAGTAACAGGTTAATAATTCATAATTATGTTAATAAGGACATACAATTTACATGCACGAAATAATCAGTTTTTAATTATTTTTTCTGAAAATGACGTATTGCCTACTACGCTTTCAACGTGGCAATTGAAAGTATTCCCTAAATTATGCCGTTTACATGAAACCAAGCAAAATCTGAAAAATTAAATCATGGAAAATTGGAACAATGTGTATGTGTCCAAAGAATGCTATCATATTGGCATTTCCCACATGTCTTCATCAAAAAAGGCCTATTTTGGAATAACCAAAGGGAATATGCCGTTTCCATGACCAGTATCAAATTCGGATTAATGGTGAAACATTATTTAGCATGTACACATACTAAATGATGATTAAAAATGTTACTTGAGCTTCTAAAAAAACAAGCGATTTTAGCTCAAAAGAAAAAATCACTACTAGACAGAAGCATTTCAGCCATTTTATGAAAGGTTACTTGCATGATCATCAGAGGCACTGAGGAGGCAGCCGCTAAGGTTTGGGTTCCAGGAGAGACCATAGCCCTCCTTCTGGTGGCCTCGCAACCGCAGATCTGGGGTGCACTCTCCAGAAGGGTCTACAGTATTCATAAATAAAAGCCAATGTTACAAAATGTGTGCAAAAAGAACGCTTAATGTCAAAAATGTGTTTTGGCTGTGCTCCTACCAGGTTTAGAGGGGTGCTTTGTATAGTCAAAGACCAGCACGTCGCTGGTGGGGGTCTTAGTGGCGATGATGCAAGGGTTCTGAGGCATGTAGCGGGCTCTGTTCACCTCCCCCTCATGGTTTATCTTGATCTCAATCTCTATCTTCCCACTGACAGATCCAAAACCTCCAAACTCTGAAATAGAGGGACAACAGTTATGATTGTTGTAAATGAACAGGTTGAGTACAATTATTTTCTACCGAGTATGCTCCATGAAAATTATGTCTTAAGCATTTTATCAACTAAAATGTTATTTCAAACAAAAATATCAGAAGCAATTAAAATGTCCACAAGATGTAAATTGGAAACTATTTCATGATATAGAATTACAATGTTAATATTAAAGTAATGCAATGGTTTAGGAGAAAGTAAATTAGTTTCATCTATGTAATTTGGAAGTTTAAATAACCAGTGGACATAATTGTACATTTCATTACCATTTTACATAGTTAACCCATCAATCCATTCTTTGTATGCAATGAACAGCTGGGCACTCTGTATAATATAGTCTGGTGTTTAACACAACACAGCTTTCCATGCACACATTATCGCTCACCTCCTTTCTCGCTGTCATAGTGTGAGGCATCAAACTGCGCGTCATCATTAGGAAGCTGAACACTAGCAATGACAAGGTGATTCTGCTCATCAGACGTGTGTGTTCCCAAAACCAGCCTGTGTACGCTGTAGTCTTTCCCCTCTGGCCTGTGAAGAGGAATTCATTCAATCATATATTCATTCATTTAAACAAGTCACAATTTTGGTGGATATACAGGTGCAGCAGATCTCCTCTCACCTGGTGACATCAGGCAGCCACTGGGCGGTGAGGCTGGGCCACTCCAGGGCGTGTGTCATGACCAGGTCGTAGAGGAAAGGCGTGTTCTTCTTCCATATCTTGTACTCCTCATTGATCACCCTCTCCTCCACGGCATCATCAAATGCACCTGCAAATGCAATATCTTTCAGCATCAGAAAGTCATGTTATAATGATGTCAGACATACAGCATTTAATTATCTTGGACATAATATAGGATACCTTGGTGACATAAAAGTTATACCCGGCTCTGCAAAGTCTTATCCTTTTTAAACGTACAGCACTAAGACTTGTTTTGCTGATAAGATGGCGTTGGCCACTTGGCACACTTTTTTTTTTTTATAGAAATACAAATCTAAAAATCCTTATAGTCAGATAAATAGAGTCTGAGCAACATGTTTCTTCATGTGCATCAGTACCTTAACCTGCACTCATAAATTAAAGCCCGTACATGGCCAGCCTGTTAGCAGCTAACGTTAGCAAACAGCTAGCAGGCTGATTCGTTTTTAACAATGAAAGGTGATGCAGGCTGGCGCGCCAACAACCACCGGTGCATCCTGACTGCTAGTTTATATCATTCAACACACACACATGCACATATTTAGTCAGTTAATTCCGAAAAGTGAACAGCCTTACCCTCTTTATCAGCCATTGTGTTGTTGTTTAACCACAAATACTGGCAAGAAAATAGGAAATAGAAAATATGTGAAAGAGCGCTCTGTAGACAGCACGGAGGCTTGCAATGGCGCCAACTCCGTAGAACACGACTGGCCAATCAGCATCCACCAAACACCGACCGGAAGTCTTACCCGCAACGTATGACGACATCCGGAAAGCCCTCTTCCGATATATGTTTTACTGTCTGTAGTCACATGCAACATACTGTCACTTGTTTTGGTTATTTTACAAATAGTTGAATAAGTTTACAGCTACAATGGACGACCGAGAGCTAGACCTGACAGCAGCACAGAAAGCTACCAAGTCAAAATACCCGCCAATCAACAAAAAGTATGAATGTAAGTATGAAGTTATGATACATTATGTAACTAGCTTAGCTCGTGAACCTTACTTCAGTGATAGAAACTCTTCATAAACAGCCTCCAACATGAGCTTACTCTAATAGATGTTATGTATTTATCTCAATTAGGTGACATAAACTATAAATATGTCCAGTTATTTTAGAAGTGCTTTTCCAGGACCATAAGTCCGAGATCACAAAGTTGCAGATGGTATTACTTGGTTTCAGCTATACGCAGTTCCCTGGAGTAGTATGCTGCTGGTGTTCCTCCTTTTTGATAAACGCAGGTGCTTCTTCAAAATAATAGGCCACTGTAAGACTGACATTGTCAGGTTACAGAATATGAAAATCTGACAGAGATAGCACATAGAAATGAAAAATGTTGATACTCAAAAAAACTAGCATGACGACACACAGACAAGCATTGCCAAAACAAACCAGTGTCTCTGTAGTAGGCAGTTACCTAGAATTGTAATCTTAAAAGCATTAATCTAGATGAGTAAAAATTAGAATATATGCCTCTGAGATTTAGTGGAGTAGAAGTATAAAGTTGCTTAAAATGGATAAAAGTGCATATAGATGTACTTGGTTTAATCCGACCACTAATCATGTCACCATGTGTTTTTGTTGTTACAGACCTAGATCATACAGCAGATGTACAGTGAGTGTGTTTTGATATCTTTGTCAAGTGTTTGTCAGATCTTTGTTGGTCTCTCTGTTATTTAGTAGGCATACTTTTATATTTGCTGCTCTCTCTCTCCCAAGAATTCACTCCTGGGGGAACTCTCTAGAGGAAGCGTTTGAGCAGTGCGCCATGGGCATGTTCGGCTACATGACGGACACAGAGACAGTGGAACCGCTGGACACTGTTGATGTGGAATCAGAGGGTGAGGGCACACAGACGGACAATCGCCCTTACTGTTCACTGATCAGTCAGATTCCAGATCACCAAAACTAAACTCTTTCCATACTTGAATCCCTTCTCAAAAGGTCACGACATCGAGTCCCTTCTTTTCCACTTCCTAGATGACTGGTTATATAAGTTTTGTGCAGATCTCTTCTTCATTCCCAGGGTGAGTATGTTATTATTGGGTGATGGACATTTTTTGCAATGAATGCTATTACTAATATGTATTTTGATTGACAGACCATATCTTGTTCATTCATTTCGTTTTTTCCTATTATCCCCTTTTCTCTTGATTATGTGTTACATCTAGGAGGTCAAAGTTCTGCACATTGACAGAATAAACTTCAAGATCCGATCCATTGGGTAAGTTAGTTTACCTCTTCACATTTACACGAAGGGTTACAGCCTAACAAGAATATGTATAATGTTATGAACCAGAAATCTCTCAGTTTTCAGTATTAGTTCACAAGACCCCTCCCACCCCCTTAGCTTATTTGTAATATGTTTCACTATCTAATCTTTTTTATCTTTTTCATCTATCTTCTATTCAGATGCTCTTTCTAATATGATATTTTTTCTTTTGTTTATTAAAGATGGGGTGAAGAATTTTCTCTGGAAAAACATCCACAGGTAAGAATGGGAAAATCTAAAAATCTGAACATTGAACGTATATATTAAAAGGACAGATGGCTTTACCTTATATTTTCATTCTTATTAATATTAACGACATCAATACAATATTTATGAAACTTAAATAATAAAAGCCAAAATTGCAGTGCATTTCCAGTATTCTAAGTGTGATGTCTTTTTTTTTAATTCAGGGAACAGAGGTGAAAGCAATCACATACTCCGCAATGCAGATCCATGATAAGGAAAAAGCAGATATATTTGCCATCATTGATATCTGACGATATCTCCAAATGCAGACCACGCTCCTGGGATTCAATAACTGAAATATCTACTTGGCCAATTTAAGCGACCTTTTTGTTGATGCACTGATTGTTGACTTGGTTTCTACTTGAAAGGACATATTTACTAAGAGAAGCATTTCAACATTTATTTTGATAAAGGTTCAATGCATACCACTCTCTAGATTTAAGATGAGTGATATGACACTAATCATTTTATAATTTACATTATTTAACAAACCACAAAAAACATGAAAATAATAGAACTCTTTACGCTTAGTCAACTGAAGAGTGAACTTGATTAAGAAAGATTTATTCATTTTTAAAGACATTTGTAAACCAATTTTTGCTTAAAATGATTGTGCAAATCCTGTCATACCATTTAAATTAATTTTGTTGATGCCTTTTTATGCATTGTAAATAAATCAACAGATTTTTTATATTTTTCTGCTGTGGGATTGATTAAATGGTAACTGGTATTTAAAAAAAAAAGTTAAATCTTGCTTTTGAATATTTTGTGGGTGTACTCATTATTCTAAAGGAGAAGGGGATGCCTTCAATAAGTCAACATGGATGCATAAGGGATTTCCTTTAGGTGTGTATTGACTTAAGACCAAAGTGCAACCAACTCATTTCTTTTTGGAAATTAATGAATTATAGCATACTTTATCTATACTACTCTTGTATCTCAGCTGGACATATTCTTTTTTACCTCAAAGGCAGTCGGAAGAGAACAATACATCTGATAATCGTGATTATCACAGTCAATTATGTGCAGTTATAAGTCAAACATAACACTTGTGTGCAATAGATTATATTATTATGTTTCATGTCCTGGCTTGCGCCTATAATCAAAATTGAAAAAAATAAGCTAATAATAAAGCTGATATTAAAACTGTTAAGGCCATTTGTGTGGGGCCAAGCATTTACAGGGAAAGGTATCAGGGGCCTAAAGACATTATCACAAAGACCAGCCATTGAAACCAATCAAGGATCATTCACCCTAGCTGGGCATGTATGGCTGATGCATGAAGCACATACAGTAGGCTGCACATGTTTAAGAAAGAGAGTGGGGAAACAAAGTTCTTAACAAATTAAGAGACCACTGACCAAGTATCAGTTTCTCTGGTTTTACCTAGCTAGGTATGTGTTTGAGAAACATTTCCATTATGTATTTTATTGTATACTACTGACAAGATTTCTCTGCGTTGGAATTCAAGGACACTGGAATGTAATGGCTACCATACATGTAGAGATTGAGACAAATTTGGAGTGATCTCTTTTTTTCCCCAGAGCTCAGCTGTATATATTCCAATAGGATAGCCTACCGGTGTTATATTGGACAAACATACATTTGCTTCAGTTTAATTGATTTAATAGGATTGGACTGTCGATAGTAGCTTCTACAATTGCTGTAAACCTCAACAAAAAGAGGGTGAAAAAACGCTGAGGGTCAAAATGCTCCCCCGGATTTAGTCAACCCCCCCCCCACCCCGGTGCGATCTGGTCGTGACGTCACTGTCTCCTCCCGGTTTCTTCCTCCTCTTCAGTGAAATGCAGCTGCGCCATTACTCCTTTGTCCATTGAAGAGAAGCTACTTGCCACGGAAAGATACCGGCGGCTCTGCAACAACTTCACCATTTATTTTGTTGCACTCAAACAGCGTTATCTATTAGCTGCAGTTTCGTTGCAAGCGAAGCTAACGAACATAGCCAGGCTTTGTTCGTTTATATTTGGCGGTCTTAGTCTATTATGAGCAGTTCTGAGCCCGCCATCGAGTCGAGCCCTCAGAAGAAAATCAAAATGGAAGACAGCAAATACCTGCCGGAGCTCCTGGCCGAGAAAGACAGCCTGGATTCCTCTTTCACGCACGCCATGAAACTTATTTCTGCAGGTAAGGTATTTTCTATTTACCGAAACAAACCCAGACCGGCTAACGGTAGCATGGCTTGAGGCCTAGCCTTCTTTCTAATGAACAGACGACACAGGCCCGAACAATGGTGTAATACGCACGTGGTTGTAAGGGATGTGGGTCAACACCATTTGGTTGGATATATATCAGATTTCTGATTAATGAATGTGACTTTTACATAATCCAAATGATAAATATATGTTTTAGGTTGAAAGTAGCGGGCTCGTCCTCGTTGATCACGTTAACACCATATTAAGCTTCAACTCGCCTCATCGACCCATTGTATACACATCCAAGGCACTAACATTGTAAATGTCTCATATATTAAACTGCTTCAAGTTGTGGTTGTTACATTGCAAATTAATGATGGTGGCCGATTGCTCACCACCTCTATTTCGGTTAAACTATTGGTACATAAATAAACAAGATTTGAACGGTTTTGCAGTTTGAAATCAACGGAGATGATTTTTGAACAATAGATTTCTCGTTGTATCACTAGTCGGCCATTGCATCTGTGAAACCCCCACGATTAACATCTTAATGTGTTTCTCTCCTGCAGAGATTGATAGGATTAATAAAGGAGAAACCAAGAAAGAGTCGGAGAAGGAAATCTACCAGGATCTGTTTGCCAACAAGAATCTCAAACTGAAAGAGCGGGTACTCATTCCTACCAAGCAGTACCCTAGGGTAAGTGTCCGATTTATTTCTTACTTGTTTATTAACGGACTGTTTTTATTGAGTAGGGAAGGGTGGGACTAAAAAATCGAAGCAACATATTTAGTTTTATGTGGTCTAATACGTAGAATAGAGGCAGGCATTTGGCGATGGGCAAACCTTTGGGTGAATGTCTGACTTCAGTATCCGATTGTGGAACCCTGTCTCCCTCTGGCTTTTCTGACCTAGAATTAGTCAAGTCATGCGGCCAGTGCCCTACTTTTTTCTGCATGATTAATTTTGCATTGGTATAGACTTGGGAAGAGGGGGTTGTGTTTTTTTAATGCTGACTTTAATGGCTAAACCCTCATTCTAGATTCTACTACCTACCATATTAAACTGTATTCTACATTTCTCTGGAAATGTTAACAAACCATAGTGCAGTGCTAAATGTTCCTATTTATATTCCTTACAGGTCAACTTTGTTGGTAAGCTCTTGGGCCCCCAGGGCAGCACAATCAAGAGACTCCAGGAAGAGACTGGAGCAAAGATTTCAGTTCTGGGTAAAGGTTCCATGAGGGACAAGAATAAGGAGGAAGAGCTGAGGAAGGGTGGCGAGGCCAAATATGCTCACCTGTCCATGGAGCTGCATGTGTTCATAGAGGTGATGGCCCCTATCCCAGAGGCCTACATGCGCATGGCTCATGCCATGGAGGAGGTCAAAAAATTCCTTATTCCGGTATGTGATAATCTCAATTCGGATATCATTTTTCTTCCTAAACTTTTGCATTGTAGATGTCCAAGCAATTATTTGTGATGCTCCCCTAGAGGAATGACATGGATAGTTCATTGTTTTTGTCTTGCCTTTAGGAACCCGGTGAGCATGACCCCTTCATGGATCCTCACTTCCTGAACGGATCACAGGATGGTGGCAGGGGGCGTGGTGGTCACCTAGGAAGAGGCAGAGGCGGACCACCTGGTGCTGGAGGACCAAGGTAGAGGCCTTAATCATAATACCTATGGGACATTTTATCTGACAGGCGAGACTATGCTGCTATTTCTCTGTTTCGCTAGTTACTTTTGGTTTTCTATGGTTGATCTCATTTTTTGAAACATGGCTTTCCACAGGGGGCGAGGAATGCCACGTGGGGGACCTCGAGGAGCAATGCGTGGTGGCGGACCACGGGGAGGAGGGATGGGAAGGGGCAACGGCCATAGAGGTGCACCGTCTGGCAGGGGTGGCCCTCCTGCTGTGCCAAACAGAGGAGGCTCAGCTCCCCGCTCTAGGCCCCCAACAGGAGGCGCTCAGAGGATGCTCCCCTCTTCAGCCATGTCCCACCAGCAGGGCCCTGCTTCATCACAGCCCAAAGCTGAAGGCTATGAGGACTATGTAAGTAGTTTGAGTCCTTTTCACATGGCGTGCCTTTTTTAATAGCTGGTACAGATCTCCCTGGTTTTAGTGTGGTTTTTGTCTATAGTGTTGTAACTCACTTGTCAATGTTTTTTTCTTCTTTTCTTTTAGCCTTCATATGATGAGACCTTCGCAGAAGCTGCCTACGAGGGATATGATAATTATTATAATCAGCAGTCTGCACCTGCGTAAGTCCTTAAGTTAGTTGACTTTATCTGCACATTAAAATTATGTAAATTATAGGATTACTGTATTGACTCTTCTTTACTGCCTATAGGGATACTGAATATTATGATTACGGACACGGAGAGGCACAGGATACCCCATATGAGCCATATGGTAAGATTATAAAATTGGCTTCCATTTTGTCTGTCCTTGTAGCACACACTCACTAAGGATACGTGTGGAGCACTGATCGGACCTTCTGTGTGCCTCACTGATGTTTGGTTTTGTTTCTTATTTCTGTCTTTGCAGCTCAAGATGAAGGGTGGGAAAACTCTTGGAACAACTCCGGGGCTGGAGGCAAATCCACCGCGGCCCGGCAGACGAAGGGATCCTTCAGAGAGCACCCCTATGGCAGATACTGAACTGGTAGAGAGTTGTTATGGCAACTGTCTCCGATTGTAACTCCCTGAACTTTTCTAAAGTAATTTCCCTCTCGTTTGTTCCCTTTTTTTTAAAATATTGTTTATTTTATTTTTTAACTCGATAGACATTTTGTTGGATGTATGATAGCGTGCCAGAGGAGAAACATGGAGACAAACTTTTTCATTGTTTATCTGTTTCCATTAATGTTTTCAGTTGCGTAGTTGGCAGGTCTTAGTGACATAACCCTAACAAAGCAAAAAGAGTAACATTTTAGTGATATTTGATGGTTATCCTTTCAGTTAATTGTTCCTGAACAAAATATGATTGTGGCGATAAATTATTTACAATTAGGCTGCATTTAAAAAGTCCTTAAGGACTGGACAAAAATGATCATAATGCCTCAATGTTACTTTACTATAACTATATTTCGTTACAAACTCAAAAACCGAGCCGTTGTGATAATAAACAGAAGTCATATATTTGTTTATACTATAATACAAATCTAGTCTTGTGTGAAGTTAATGGCTCCTAAAATACTATTGAAAAATGTTTCTATTTTTGCCACCATTTACAATTGTTGTATGAAATATTACTTGCAAAATCAATGCTGATCGTCTACTTCTTGTAAAGCTTGTAGGGTTAACAATCCTTGCTGTGAGAGGAAGGCTGCTGCCAACTCAATATTTTGTACATAACCTTAGGACAAATGTGTATGCTTTAAGCCGTGCCGTCTCCAAAATGCATAATGCTTGTGTACCTTTGGCTAAATAGGATACTAAATATATCCCAAAATGTTTTTCTGCAGTGCGTGTTTCAATAAAGTTTCTAGTTTCTTCTTAATCAATCTAAACATGGTATTTTGCCTTTGTTGTACCAAAGGAATGCCTTCAGTTTGTGAAAGTGGTCCTCAGTGGTTTCTCAACAACGCAGAAAAAGCTGTATGTATACACGTCAGCCTGACAAAAAACAAAAGCAGTGTTTTGACAATGAGCTTTATCCTCTTCGTCTGTTTTCAAAAATTATCTAAAGGACACTTGTAATGTCACCTTCAAAAAAATACAAATAAAGCTCTTATCTTGAGATAATGTGCTGCCAAATACATGTTTTATTGAGAATGATATAGTGCTTGAACATGTATTGTCATTAGCCTTTAGTTAGTCTATCTACTCAAGCTCTCAAGAGCAATGTATCTTCAGCCCGCTTGAAATAACTGAATTTCAACAGTATTTCAAATCAAGCTTGCAGGGATCTTACTTGACTTTGATGCAAAGTCACGCTGGCTGGTTATAATAAAAGAAAAAAATCGCAGAGGAGAGGATTCTAAAAGCCTAAAGATCGCCACAAGAAGGTAAAACTAACCCCAACACTCATTTTTTAGATTTTTGTTTTTTCTGTGCAAAACATCAAGTAATGAAAGTCATCAAAAACATTTGACGTACAAAATTATGCTATCTGTAGTTATTTCCGAGCAAAATTAGCCGTAGAAAACAACCAGAAATGGTTGTGATGCAACTCTTGCTCAAATAAACCCATAATGGTCCACTCATTTCACTCAATACTTAGCCATTTCCATCTTGTTAATGTCTCTAGAATGTAGATTAATGAAAATTAGTAGTTGCACTCAAAACGTTAAAAATATCCCATTGTTGGACAAAAACCTTCAGCTTGAGTTGCATGGATCTTTTGTAGCGTACTGTTAGTTTTGCATGTCTGTTATTATCCACTGTGCGTGTAGGCACGGATGTGTCCATGTTCTCATTTCTGTTTCTCTTCTTAGGTTGTCAGAAAACTGTTTGTGCATTTTACACATTCAACTCCAGTTTACCAGGCTTTATGGTCAGTTGAAACAAATCCTCAGATATTTCTTTAAGCATTGAATTTTGCTGTTGATTTAAAAAAAAAAAACTTCTTTCTCTAACAGGTCCATTGAAAGTCCCTGGAAAGAGCAGAGGCCTTGCAGTGTTTCTGAGACCGAATGCTTTTTTGTATGGTTTAAAAAAAGTGGGGAGGGAGCTTTCTCCATCACTGAGAACATGCTCTGCTCTCCTGTCATTTTTACTGTAACGATGATTTTTTTTAAAGAGATGTGCTGCGATCATATGGATTGTTTTATTGACTGTACAGTTTTATAATATTTTTTACCCCTGACATTTTAAGAGCTTTTTTAAAAATCAACTGAAAAATAAAGTTTTTTTGTATCTGACTTGTATTGTTCTGTCTTTGTGATCTTATAATCAAAAGAGTTAAACTTGCATTTGATGCCGGGATGTCTATATTTAACACGTAAATGTAATGCGATTTATGTTTAATCTAATCTCGAATTATGGATCCCCGTTTCACTATGTTGTCTGTTGGGACTTGTGTCTTTTCTCACATGCTATAATAAGTGAGATGTATTGAACACAAACACCATGCTGATAGACCACTGTCCCTTGTCAGGATGTTACACAACTGCATTGAAATCTTCCATTTTACAAGCCTCTGCTCACTGTACATCCATAGGTAAAATAAACATTTCCTTAAAAATGCAAAAGATAATAAGGTAATTATTACAAACATAATTTACAGACCTAAATGACATGCAGTTAGTTACCTCATGGGTTGGGTAGTTGCTGATGCTTTGAATGAGGATTATAAAATAAGGTTACATACTTAATGAAAGATTAAGTAACTATAGTTGAAGATTACATTATTTTTTTAAAGAAAAACTAGCTGCAACTGTTGAATGTAATCCAATTTTATGAGCCTATTGTTTTATAAGCAAAATACCCTATTTATTCCAGAAAATGTGCTAAATTAAATCCCTATGTTCTGCCTTCATGTCTAACATAAAATCTGACCCAAGCCTGCTGACCTATCCAAAAACACATTGCTCTCCTTCCCTTGGTGCGTCTGATTTTTGGCGGAATGTCCCTTTAAATGTCTCTCCTCCCACAGGTCGCTCACATATCCGCCCCCCCATCTATCAGCGGCCAGTTTCACATCAACAATGACTGTCTCCGCTGATTCCTTTGGAATATACACCACTTCTCCAATAAACACTGTGAAAATGTACAGCGTGTAGCTTGTTATCAATGCAACAGAGCAGCGGCTAACACACAGCGGACTGCACTGGTAAGCTCTTGTGGTCTATCCTGTTTGGTGGCTTGGTTTGATAGCTAGCTAGCTAGTCAGAGATACTGTTAGCCTAGGCCTCGATCTTTGTATTTAATCAAGCATGGAGTTGGCGGACACATCCGAGTCCGTGGCTCATTGTACAGGTCCACGTTGTGTCCGCTGCCCGCCTCGTGTCTCCCACTCTAACGGCTCCCGTGACAAATGTGACCCAGGAAGGGAACAAATTGTGGTGCTACTTGGCTAGCTTGTAATGTCAGCTTCCGCAAAAAACTTGCACTATATTAAAGATGCTATGCAGCTAGTGCAAATGTATCGCTAGCGCTTGGTGGTGCATGTTTATGATGGATTATTTGAAGCAGATCTATTTTGCTTTGCACAATTTGGGATTGGCCATGAAATCTTAATCCTGCAAATTCTTGTTGTTTGTTATGACTGCACCACTGCTGTCATTTTAAGTGCTGTGACTAAGCCAATCATTGACCAAAATAAAATTTATGTAACTGATTGTTGCCCTGCAAGTGAATCATATCCTATGTGATACATATCACAGGCTTGATCCAAATCATATTACACCAATTAGTCAATAACTGTTATAACGTGTTCTGGATCAGCCTCCTTATTGACAGTGTTCTGCTCCCTTGGTGTATACAGGCACAGGAACAAGCAGGGAAACCATAAAACCAGACGCATAGCTGGGAGAAGTCGTGGGTGTGTCGGCGATGGCTGGTGGAAGGAGAGGGGCGAACCGTTCCACGTACTGCAGACCTCCGCTCAGCAACGAACCAGGCTCGGTCAGCAATGGCAACCACTCGACCAGCTCCCCGGTCACAGGGGTGCGATCCCGTACAAGGTATGCTCTGATATACCGCAGATGTTTGAGAGTTAAGAGCGGTAAATTGACTGCATTTATATTGGCTTTTCCAGTCTACCCCTCAAAGTGCTTTTTAAATATACAAATCAGCATTCACACACATTTGTACATTAATTCACACTAGGGGCCACCTGCTCAAGGGAGCCTGACATTCACACACAATCACACGCTGTTGGCCGTGCCATCAAGAGCTATTTAGGGTTTGGTTTCCTGCCAATCGAACCACTGAGCTTCCAGTTGGTGGACGGCAACTCTACCTCCTCAGCCACAGCTGAGAAAGTTAACATTGGCAGGATTTGGTCACATCTCATCTGTTACACCCCCATTATAACAGAACAATATACATCATAATAAGAGAGGCTTTCTTTTGTCTGCAGGAATGGTTCGGGGACGTGCATGTCGAGCCCCCCGCTGGCTGCGCAGACGGTGGTCCCTCTGAAGCACTGTAAGATCCCCGAGTTATCTGTGGACCGCAATGTGCTGTTCGAGCTCCACCTTTTCTTCTGTCACCTCATCGCACTCTTTGTCCATTACGTCAACATCTACAAGACGGTGTGGTGGTACCCCCCCTCACACCCTCCATCACACACATCACTGGTGAGTCAACCTCTGACTTATGATCATGTTTATTATCAGGTATTATTGTCCGTAGGTCAACCTTCTGTCAACCTTCTCTGTATCCCTATTGTTTTGAAATGTGCATATCCCTCACATGGTATTGTACCTATACAGTGGGGCAAAAAAGTATTTAGTCAGCCACCAATTGTGCAAGTTCTCCCACTTAAAAAGATGAGAGAGGCCTGTAATTTTCATCCTAGGTATACCTCAACTATGAGAGACAAAATGGAAGAAAAAAAAAATCCAGAAAATCACATTGTCTGATTTTTAAAGAATTTATTTGCAAATGATGGTGGAAAATAAGTATTTGGTCAATAACAAAAGTTCATCTCAATACTTTGTTATATACCCTTTGTTGGCAATGACAGAGGTCAAACGTTTTCTGTAAGTCTTCAAAAGGTTTTCACACACTGTTGCTGGTATTTTGGCCCATTCCTCCATGCAGATCTCCTCTAGAGCAGTGATGTTTTGGGGCTGTCGCTGGGCAACACAGACTTTCAACTCCCTCCAAAGATTTTCTATGGGGTTGAGATCTGGAGACTGGCTAGGCCACTCCAGGACCTTGAAATGCTTCTTACGAAGCCACTCCTTTGTTGCCCGGGCGGTGTGTTTGGGATCATTGTCATGCTGAAAGACCCAGCCACGTTTCATCTTCAATGCCCTTGCTGATGGAAGGAGGTTGTCACTCAAAATCTCACGATACATGGCCCCATTCATTCTTTCCTTTACACGGATCAGTCGTCCTGGTCCCTTTGCAGAAAAACAGCCCCAAAGCATGATGTTTCCACCCCCATGTTTCACAGTAGGTATGGTGTTCTTTGGATGCAACTCAGCATTCTTTCTCTTCCAATGCGGTTTTTGGTGAATGATGGGGGGAGTGTTGTGTTTTGTCTGAGTGTGGGTGATTTTGTTTGGAGTTGTGTGTTGGGAGTGTTAGGGGTGATGAGGTGGGTCCGGTGTGTGTTTGTTGGTTTGTGCGGGGTTATCAGTTGGATGTTTTTTTGATGTTTTTTATTTGTTTATGATGGTTTGGATTTTTTTTTTGTTTGTTGGTCTGGTGTGTCTTTTTTTTGGGGATGTGGTGGTATCTTTTTGGTTGTTATCGGTGTTTTTTGCTGGGGTGGTTGGTGCTTGTTGTGGGTTGGGTTTCGGATTATTGTTATCTGTCGTGTGTATTTGTGGTTGTGTTTTTATGTAGTGTTATTTGAGTGGGTGTGGGTGTGTTGTTGTTTTGATTTTTGTTGGTTTTTGTGTTTGTGGGTGGTTTTGTGTTTAGTG